GCACATCCTCTAGAGATTACTTCTGAATCAGAGCCCACAGCTGTTGTCTTTTATAGCTAAACAGTCAGAATGAAATCATTCACATATAAAAGGCAGATTTTATACCAACAGTATCACCACTGGAGCAAACCAAACTTGGTGTTTTACTGCTGTGCGTAATTCAAGACAGTTAATAGGCTTAACCAGTAATTCCTTAAAATAGAAACAAGACAACAACATTTCCTTTCTGTTGAATCAATAAACAAAATCATCTGACAATGAAAAAAAATTAAAAACTACTTAAAGGGGCATTATGGAAGTTTGACAGCCAAAGCCTGTATAGAAATAATAAATTTCTTCTTCATACATTCTCTTGCAATGCCCTGGTCCTGTAGAATGAGCCCTGGCATTTTTACTGTGATTGCCTGTTTTTCTGTAAAATCGCAGAAAAAGAGAGCTGCTCGGGTCAAGCAGGCTGCTTCATGCGCGTTCACGCTCAGGCATAGCCCATAGCGTTTGCTATCAGTAGCTTTAGCAGCAGAGAGTGCGGTAGTGCCAACTCAGCAACTTTGTCGCTGTTCCTAACCCCAAAATTCCACTACCTCCGCTCCGCTGCGCTCCGCTCCGGCACAAACTCCGCAGCAAAATCGGTCCCGTTGTAGTCAATCAGAGCTGTTCTACTACTGCGGCCGTGCGGCGCAGTGCGCTGCCCGCCGTTCCGCCATCCGGCAAAAATAGGATCGATTCTATTTTTGCCGGACATCGGAGCACCTCCGCAATCAATGGACAGAAATCACAACCGCCCAACAGGAAAGAGAGCAAGCACAACTTCCGTTATTTCACAATAAATCGATAAACAAAAAGCGTTTTTTGTTTCTTCATATGCACAGGTTTAACAACTTTTAACAACTATCAATGGCGGCTGAACTTTAAATGCACAAAAATAAGCCATAAATACAGTTTCCACTATCAAAGTAGTCACACTTTGTTGATCCAAACACTGCTGATCTCTCAACACAAATGATGGGCAGATTAAACAGTTCATTTCGATGCTTCTCCCACACAACGGGTGTTTGGATCTAACTTCCGCATTCATTGCTCAGACTGTATCGCAAGATCTCGAAAATCCCGCACATGCCTGTTTGTGCACCTCAGGTCTCCACACCGGAGCGGAGCCGTTGTAGAGTGGGTAGCAGTAAAATTTGAGTTCAGAAGCGAGCGGCTGCGGAAGGTGGGGGCGAAGCGGAGCAGAGGTAGTGGAATCTTGGGGTAACGCCTAGTGATGAACCTAGTTACATTTCTGAGAACCTTTAGCTACTTTCTTCTAGATATTTCCTGCAAATTAGCAACAAAATAGCCATTTTCGCTCCGAACCGTTCTTTGAACGTTGTTTCAGCTGTCATCAATGATATAAATGTTACAGATACAGAAGACATCATTGGTGCTATAGCTCAACCAGTAAGTCGGTGAACTCCCGTGCGGAACTCCCGGGTTTGATTCTGGATGCAAACATAATTTATTTAGAACTTTTTTTTTCCATTAATGGTATATTTTTTTACAGTAAGATGCCCAAATTTTTATTTGAGACTCGCCGAACGGCATTGAATTCACAGATAAAAAAGATGTGGGTTCAACTTTCATTTTGGAACAATTTTTCAAGCAAGGGAAGGGCATGATCTGAGCATGCAGGAAGACTGACCCATCTTAAACCTTTGTCGGCTGTGCTGAAGAGAAAGGTACAGAACCAAATTATTTAATTAATTAGCTGCGCATTCTCCTGTCCTTTGTCCTCCGGGCCACACACACACACACACACACGGGACTGTCTCAGCTGAGCTCTGTGAAGCTGTTATTTTCGTTAAGGAGTGTGCACGTACAGCATGCGCGCCTCGTGCACGAGCCTACTATTGAAGCTGCCGTTACGCTTTTGGCCTGAGGGGGCAATCGCGAGTATAAAAATTCAAAACTCCGTAAAGTCCCTGTAAGCAAAAAAGTACAGAATCAACATCTGTTTCAAAATTAAGCCCCACCAGAATATTGGTCTGATCAAATCTAAGTAGGCAACCAGCAGGTGGAAAGTCTTTGGTCTAGAGGTTTGTTTTGTACTATATGCTGATGTCGGAATTCCAAAACCACGACCCGCTCGCCATCTCACACCGGCTTTATTTGAAAAAATAAATAAATTAACAAAAAAAAATTGCCTAACATTAACTTCTTTTGGGACACAATTCCCTCTTCAGCCTTTATCATCAAGAAAAATGGCATAAACACATTGTTCCAATTATATTTACTGTGCTGGGCAATAATCCTACTTCACAGACAAGTGTCCAGAGAATTCTGGTGTTCTTTTGTTTCTCAGTGGCATCAGGAAACTTGAAAAGAGCAAAAAACGAAGAAAGAAAACAGACCTTTCCCTTTAAAAGAATATCTGTAAGCATGGTTAACGCTATTAGATGTTACACACAAGCTTGTATTCAGTAGATCCAGCACTTCCACCCTTGTGCATCCATGGTTACTCTACTTGTTTGCTAACTTGTGCCAGTTGATAATATCTGCAGCCAGTGAAGCATTGATGTGCCATTTTTCAAACAGTGCACAACATTTTGGCTTTATTTTCTGATGTGGATGGAATAGGTCTTAGTGGAGAGTTATGAGTTGATGGGGTTTATTGATGCTGACCCAAAATTTGATCAGTAATTAAACATTATGATTTTAAGTCATATTGCAAAAATCTCTCAATATCTACCAATCAATCATGACAAAACAAGACTGGTATTGCTGTGAAAATGCATTTGGCCTCTGAGGTTCCCCCTCTGGATGATATGATGTAATTGATGGAATCATGAATTCTGCTCTCTACCACAAAATTGTCAAAAGAACATCTAACTTTTGACCTTAAGCTATTGATGCAGGAACACATCTGGAGTGACTATTCTCCAGCTGCTGCAAATGCTCGGTTAAAGTTGTTCTAGCTAGTCTCTTTTTCCACCGAGAGCCAGGTTGGTTGGGATAGTTTCTTTAAAGTAAACAATTATAAAGTGCCTTTCATATTTACTCAAAGAAAGCAAAAAGTGAAGAAATTTCTAAAAAGGCAAATAGTTTTTTTAAGCCCTTTGATCAATAAACTGATGCTCCGCTTGTACTGTATCTGCCTGGACAGAAACAATAGTCCAATAAAAGCTTCTAGTCAGTTTAGCAGTAAGCTCACTAACCGTACTGTACATGAAAACATACCGACTGCCCTCCTTCTGCCCTCGTGGATGATGCAATCAGCAGAACGGATTTCCAGGATTACTACAAATGGCTGCTAACACGGTCAGCCACAAAACTGGTGACAGAAACACGATTTGATCCAATTGCTGCAACAACAAAATCTCATCAACCACATCTGAGATGGTTCCCATGCTTCGGGGCCCACCAGAGATGTGCGCTGCAGTTTCATTTTGGAGGGGGGGGGGGGGGGAACAATATAAAAATCTCATAGCGCATTCTCCATTTTTTAATCAGCATTATTCTCTCGCAGCTTCACACACGGCAACCTCTGTGCAGCAGAAGCCAAATAATTATTTATTTATCTGACAGAAAGATAAATTGCTTTGCAAGGCTAAATAAATTACCCTTCTTAAATGTTTTAAAGTTCTGCTGAGTGTGTTGCATGCCTTTCCTCTGGAGGACCGAACAAAAGAGAGATTTTTAGTGGCCTTTTAGTTACCAGAGATGGAGAAAGTGAGAGGCCATGCACATATATACAGTGGGGACCTATTTCTCTTGTTTCCATGGTAACAGCTGCTTGGTTGCCTTGTCGCCACAAGAGCCAGGTCTCCCTTGGAGATGAATCTGCTGTGTGTGTGTGTGTGTGTGTGTGTGTGTGTGTGTGTGTGTGTACACACTTTGCCAGGGCTGCCTGCACAACCCACACAGACCATAATTTCAGCCCTGAGGGGCTGAATAAAAAATAGGTGTGGTCTGTTTAACCACCATGGATGCAAAAATGCCTTTCCAGCCCTTACATAGTCAGATCAGAGTGTTCAGTGGTTCCTCCCCCTCAGCGGGAGGGCAGCAGGCTGAACACACCTTTCAAACACCAGCTTGGTGGGATTTTTGTGTCACTTATTAATCCGAGTTGTGGGTGTTCCAAAACATGGATACACAAACATGTTCAAACATTTTCCGCCTCTGCTTGCAGTAGACATCCCACTTCTCTATTAAATAGGTTTTGGGTGTCTCAGTCCAATTCCCCCCTTAAAAATGGCACCATTTCTTGTGTTAAAGGTGTGGGATAATAAAAACATTTTTAATAATTTATTATATTTGTTCACTCAGAGTTTTTCCATGCAGGCTAAACATAAAAATAGTCTCCTTTCTATAGCTTCTGATAGGAAACAATAGCCTGACAGATCTTTGTCACACTGTCTCTTAACACTCATGGACTCACCCATCTTGACTCACAAAGGGGAAGGGTGGTGTTGTTTGAACGTTCGAGAATCAGCAGCGATCCTCTTGACTTGTTTAAGCTAGCCGTTAGCATTAGCAACTCCACCACATGGCAGAAGCTCCTCCAGGATTGTATTATTTGTGGAGATAAAACATCAACATTGCAAGTCAGTGGTAGAGTTGCATTGCTGTTATCCAATCAGAGGCGAGATGTCCAAATTTCAGGAACAAAACTCCAAATCCTTTTTCAGTGTTTTCTGTGACATTTTCTTTAGTCTTTTGCACAAAATGATTTATTGTTTTTCCCCTTGCTGATGCAGAGAAGTTTCTCTGTAGAAAGCTAGACTTGTTTCCTCACCTTTGAAGACGTTTGACTTGTAATTTGAGGAACTTTCTGAGTGCAAACTAAATGAAGATCTGAGAATTAATTGGATCAAGAAATCCCTTTAAACAACAAAGAGCTAAATGTCTTAAAATACTCAACAAGAAAGTTGCTTTTTAAAACAAAATAAAAATAGCTTGCAGGATTGCCATTTCCTTTCCTGTGTGTTCTCATATGCTTATATATATTTGTGTGTGTTTAAAAGAAATTCACCAAGGGCCAGACCCTGCTGGACATGGTTTGCGGTCATCTGAATCTGCTGGAGAGAGACTACTTTGGCTTGAGTTTCGTGGACACAGATAACTCTAAGGTTAGCTACACAAATCCATAACACACACACACACACACACACACACACACACACACACACACACACACACACACACACACACACACACACACACACACACACACACACACACACACACACACACACACACACACCTCCTCTTATCAGCTGTAAATATCTCCCTGAATAGCCTTTGTTTGGAGAAATGGTATTTACACTCCACAGGACTGATGAGCTAACGGCTAGTCTGAGCTCAGGCAAGAACAAAGCTGCGTCTGAAAGCAGATCAAGTCATAATTCACTTTGATTCAGTCACTGTTATTTCATTAACCTTATTTGTTTCACCTTCTAGTGTGTTTATATTTATATGTTTACATATATTTACAGGTGTAAACAACAACAAACAGTTAAAGGCAGCAGTTCTGGTTCATCCAAATGCAGTGGGATTTTATTATTGTTTTATTTCTACACAAATAACATCCAGTTATATAATGAAGGTGGGAAGATTCAACATTTACACAAACCGCTGTGGAGCCGTTTTGGTTTGGCTGTGCTCAGACTAGTCCTATACATAAAGGCTTTTTCTCTGAACTCAGGCTGATCGTGAAGTTTTTACTGGGCAGCAGTAATAATGTATAACTTTCATACCAAAACACTTTAAAATTGCTTTCAGATCCTTTTGAGAAGACTTAAGTATTTGTTCCTGTGAGACCTGGAGTGAAATTCACATCCTCGCCATTTTTAAAGCCAACAACAAATTTGTTTTACATTTCTGTAGAAACTGAGAATTAGAAAAGCTATTTAAAAAAATATTTATACCATTTATTTTTAATCTTCAGCTATTTATGGTCATGGTTATAGAGACTCTTTACATGATGTTTTTGGGTTGAAGCTCCGTGTGACTTCATGTGAATGCAAACTGCATCTCTGAGATTTACAAGGTTCTCCAGTTCCTCATGAGCTTTGAGCATTTCCTTTTTATTGCCTCAGCAACCATCAACAATAACAATTATTTGACATTTTTTGTACAATTAGTCCGTAACAGTTTGAACTTGATTATTTTGAGGGCTTAAAAAGTGTTGTTTCTTTTTATGTCAGAGTAAATTTTTATTCACCTTTCAGCCGATCAACCCATTACCAAGACGCTGACTGCCTTTTAAATCGGTGTTTATCCACTTATAGCACGAGAGTGACGCACAACCTTTAACATTGTAAAACATGATTAAACAGCCTGGCCTTTGTAAATGATACCTCACAGGGTCTGCAGTCCACCACAAAAGCTTTGGTGATGACAGAAATGGAACTAGCTTACATTTTTAGCCCAAATATCTCTGTACCTTCAGTGATTTGAAAAGTTCTTTGTATGAATATATTTGGCTTCAACAACGGAGATTGTCTTAAAACAAGGGAAGTAGAGTCAGACTGCCTTAAAGAGCTTTACAAAGATGTGAATATGGATGTGTAGGTAGAACTTCTCAAAAGAGATTGTCTCTTTCTGTCCTCGTCAGAATTGGTTGGATCCCTCCAAAGAGCTAAAGAAGCAGATTCGAGGTAAGCGTAGCAGACACACTGTTTACACAGGCTTGCACGCAGTCCCACAAATCCTCAGATTTCACTTTTTAGAGATTCTTAACATTGATGCTGGTTTGTTCCCAGTTGGTGCCTGGATTTTTGGCTTTGCTGTCAAGTTCTACCCTCCAGACCCATCTGTGCTGATTGAAGACATCACAAGGTGGGTCTGATTAAAACTAATAAAACCTGAGCGGACGCCGCTGTTGGATTCTCAGTTTTTATTAAGAGAACGAAGCTGCCTAAACTAAATCAAAGCTGTTTAGTACACTGCAAAAACAGCACTACATGTAATAAAGCAAATGTTAATTAAAAATGAAAAAATTTTCTTGGGGAAAAAAAATCTGCCAACCGGGTAATCAAAGTTGATTTGGTATAATTCTTAAAAACAAATCTAGCTGCTGCGTCCCTTTAAACTATATCCACAATTCTCCAGAGTCAATGTAAGTTTTGCTTCTTACTAGCAAAAGTTTCTTACCTTAATTTTTTTCCATAGAATGAGTTTTACAGACACTTGATTCAGCTGATTTTGAGATATTTAATAAAGGCACCGTCTGTTGAAAATGTATACTAAAATGAGCATTTTGATCATACATCAAGATGATATTGTCATTTTTGGGTTGGTGTTGCTGATTAATCAGGAGACAGACCAGTGAACTCAAAAAGATTAAATAAAAATCAAAGACTTAAGTGAATACGTACTTGTCACAAACACAAAACGAGCAACCGGGCTGCATGGTAGCTAAAACAGTAAGATCTGACTGAAAATGGAAGAACCAGGGAGCTTTTAAACTGTGGGATGGTGATTACAAGTGTGAACAGGTGAGCAGTTTAACTGATGAGAAGCAGGTGTGGAATGTGCATGACTGAGTGAAAATTAAACTAAACTATCTATATGCTTGGAGTATGTTATGAGTATGTCCTTTAAATGCTGCTGTAAATTAGTGGGTTTTTTAGAATTCTGTTGTAAAGACTGATCGATCAATACGGCGCCGCAGATGGCAGCCTCGGTACATTGCTCTCTTTTGTTTGTGTTGTTCTTGTCTATTTTTTTTGGAAATCAGCGACGCAAAACGGATTACTTTTAGTAGAGAAGAACAGCTGTGTATCAAGCAACAAATCAGAGACGGATTTTCAAAATTTTGAGGACCCAGGAAGTTTATTGGAACAGTTTCTTTCCTTCAGCCATTTCTCTCCTGAATTTGTAGATTGTTTTACCATCCTTTTATTATACTTTTTATACTTATTCAGAATGCTTATGGATATGTGTGTGTGTAAATATACATGTGTGTGTTTACATGATCTTATGTGTTTTTATGTATATTTATTCTCATTTATTGTAGTTGCTGTATGTTTTAGAGAGCGAACACCTACTGAAGCTAAATTCCTTGTAAATGTAATTTTACTTGGCCAATAAATCTGGAATCTGAATCTAAAGTTTTATATAAACTAACTAAAGCCCAGCGGATCCAAACCGATATCTGCTGAAAGCCACTGTTTAAGTGGCTTTCATACACTATAAATAGCAAAATGTATAATTATAAAAATGTTAGACATATATTTCTAAAATAAGCATCATTTTCTTTTGCAAAACTTGCTATCTGAGGAAAAAAAATATTTAGCCAAAAAATGAGAATTTGGATTTTAAAAAATATTTGGCAAGCAATTTTTGCTGCGTAATGTTCTCATGTTAATATTTCAAAGCTCTCTGTTTAATCTGACTGGAAAATGTTCTCCATTTTTTTTACCTACTTCTTGTTTCATGTTGCCAAATTAGGCTACACTGCAAAAATTATTTTTAAGGATTTTTAAAAAGCCTAGTTTTTACACAATTTATCTTTTTAGTTAACAAAAATCTTCTAGATAAATTGTATTACTTAAAAATTAGGTAAATATTCTTAAATATGACCGAAAGTTTCTTGTTGTGAGTAAAATTTTCTACCAGTGGGGTAAGCAAAAGTTGCTTGGCTAGAATAAGACTAGCAAATAAACCAAAATTTAGATTATCTTGCTAGTTTTTAGGATTGTAGCCAAGCTTGTGATGTGACTGCTTATATTACCTCATTGGTAGAATTTGTTTTAACTCAAAATAAGAAACTTTGCATCATATTTAAATATATTTACCTTATTTGAAGTAATGCTATTTTTATAGAGAAGAGATTATTTTCATTTTAGACTAAAATTAGACATTACTAAAAATGAGGCATTTTATTTATTTTTTAAATGTATCTTTGCAGTGTATAAATGGAAAACACTTTTCCTCCCATTGGTTTGCTTTAAATATCACTTCCACGTTTTACTCCTTTGTCGTTAGTCTGCTGAACGTACTGCGCATTTACAAAGCAAATACAGTATATTTTTAGTGTTTCTGAAATGTCACATTTCTCGAAGTATTAGAGCTGCAGTTGTGGCCTACTTGTGTCAGTAGACTTTGAAATGTTTCTAAAAGTTGAAAAGAGAGCATCTTCTTTTATTGATTGGACATAAATAAGAAAGCACTCACAGTAAGATAAAAACGAATCTCCCTTCAGTTCAGTGTAAGCTTTGAGTTGGTCTGATGAGACGTAGATGTAGACATATTACTCTGGACTACAGACAATTGCTGACTTTTGCACCATTTTGAGGTGTTTTTGTGCAGTGCTTTTAACAATTACTATTGTAGATAGCTTATTGAATGAACAATGTGTAGAGAAACGGCTTTTATATTCGACAGGACTTTGATAGGAAGTCCTGCCAAGACCAAAGTTAGTCTTTGCTCCCATAAAACATGTTCAACTAACTAACTAACTAACCAACCAACCAACCAAATATTTAATAATTTCCGATATATCGATACTGTCTGACTCTTAATTTCTGATAACGATATACATTGATACCCGGTATATGCTGTGCCCTCTTCTCATTAAAAGGACAACATTTGAGATTACCGTGCATTCTTAATTGAAACATTTCCTGTTTAAAATGACAACTACTTCAACATGAGTAACAGGAAAAGAGCCATATTGAATTTGTCTCCAACTCAGTGCAGAATGATCACATGTAATCATGAGAACATTTCTAATTTAAAGGTTGAATTTAATAACAGTTTAACAACAACAATTTAATAAAAAGCTCTATTTAGAAAAAAAAATGCCTCCATGCAGGGTTCACCCTTGCTTCACACTGGAAGCATCAGCGGCACGTAACGTCGGCAGAACGTCACTGCTTTGAATAGAATCCGTTATAGTCTAAGGGGAGTGATTCAAACCAGCCGCGAAGCTTACATTTTAAGGTCCGTCCCAGAAGGCCTTGCTGTTTCACGCAGCTAAAGAGGATCTGGTTTTATTTTAGTCACGAGCCGCTTCTGGGATACAGCAGAAATGTTGCCCACTGGCTGAGATTCTCCCAGTGTGTACTGACACGCAGCGCAACTCGCAAGTAAACCGTTACAGTGCCATTCTGCACCACTGATGCCTCCAGTGGGAAGTAGGTGAGCAGAATCAAAGTACAGTATTTCCTTTAAAAGCTATATTTTAATCTACCAGCCAATAGAGGGCACCATTTGGGGTTGCCAAATACAGTAAACAGTCCATGCGCACAGCAAGGCTGGCACTGTGGAAAATGGCGGACTCGGCAAGTCAAACAGCTGCTTCTGAGCCTAGAAGATGTTGTTATCCTTCTCAGAAGAGGAGCGACCATAAAAGATCTAAAACCAGAGTGAGTTTAGGTGAAGCCTACAACAGATGGACCCAAATAAAAAAAAAATCACGTATCGGCAGTGAACCTGGTATCCCGACGGCTGGAAACCTTGTTCTGTTGTTGCAAATACAACTTCCACACACTAGATGCCACTTTGGTGTTTGTGTTCCATATTCAACCTTTAGGTTTTTTCAGTTTAAATGCGATTAAAAAAACATTTCCTCTTTATAAATGTAGTAAAATACATTTTTAATTATGACCAATAAGATGTGATATTCCATATAAATATGAAATGTCAATCTGATTGATCTTTGAGTGTTTAATCAGAAAATTCTAGGGTTCTTTGCTTATTCAGGGACCATAAGCACACGTTGTATTAATTCAGACAGAGTCAGTATATAGTTCATAAAATTAATTTATATGAATGTTTAGTTGAATGTTTTGTCTTCATGGAATGTAAACACACGCTGAGCAGACCCTTCTGGATTTAGAAGGCCAAATAGAAAGTGGGTTTATGCTGTAGATGAAAGGTCACTATGTTGGTCAATGTATAGGTGAAAATTGACCCTTTTGGTACGTCACATAAATAATTCTTCTAAAATGGTGTACCGTCTTTATTAGTTGACCACGTTTATCGTCTATGGAAATAATCTTCCTCCAAGCATGGTTAAAGTGGTCTCAGAATTTAAAACCACATTTGTTGTAATCTTAGACACACCACCTAAAACTAGCATATCAGAACCCACTTCAGTGTGGGCAGTATAAAAACGCTGGTCACATTTATGCTAACCATACAACAGCGCAAGGCTGAGCTGTTGCCAGAATTGTGCTCATGCTACAGATTGTATTGGGAATATCCAGACTCCGAATGAACGCCAGATAGGATCTCATCCTTGTCCGTCCTTTTCCAATTGTAAAAAAAAATCTTTGTAGTGCCCCTTTAAAAATCTGATTCAACCTCCAAAACGTTCAGTTTGTTGACGTCCAGCCATTGGATTAGACCACGTTTACTCTACTGTTGGACTTGTGCGTTAGCGGCCTTTCTACCTTTATGTTTTCAGGTATTACTTGTGCCTGCAGCTGAGAGATGACATCTTGTCTGGCCGCCTCCCCTGCTCATTTGTCACACATGCTCTTCTGGGCTCCTACACTGTCCAGGCCGAGCTGGGAGACTTCGACCCCGAGGAACACGGCCCAGACTATGTCAGTGAGTTCCATTTCGCCCCAAACCAGACACGAGAGCTGGAAGAGAGAGTGATGGAGCTGCACCATAACTACAGGTCAGGAAAGATTCAGGTAATACTGAAGTTAGTATTTAAATTTTAAGAAAATGTTATGGAGGGATTTATCCTGCAGAGGGATGAGTCCAGCAGAAGCAGAGATGAACTTTCTTGAAAATGCCAAAAAGCTGTCAATGTATGGCGTGGACCTGCATCACGCTAAGGTGAGGACATGTCTCACGTTTCACCCTTCATCTGTTAGTGCATTTTACTGAAGCTCTTTCATTCCCTGCTCCTAAATTAACTAGGACTCAGAGGGGATCGACATCATGCTCGGTGTGAGCGCAAACGGGCTGCTCATCTATCGAGACCGCCTCCGGATTAATCGCTTTGCTTGGCCCAAAATTCTCAAGATCTCCTACAAAAGAAGCAACTTTTACATCAAAATCCGCCCTGGTGAGGTAAATGGATCATCATCTTGTTTTTTAATGCTTACATGGATTTGCCACAGTTTACTGTGCAATCACAAAACCTCAGAAAAAAAAGTGCAATCGCTGGCAGAGAGGAATGAAAGCTTTTTAGGCAAAGACCCACCTTATTTGTAATGGTTAAAGTTGCATTATTGCATTTTTTGACTGGAACCAAGCAGCATGAAAGGTCTAGGTTCAGAATTGTCCTTCTGAAGATTAGATTAGAGATTATACTTTATTTTTGTCTTCCTTAACTGAACTTTTAACGTGATCGTTTCAGTGTCTAGACCTACATTCAGTTGAATCTAATTTTCTGCTCACTGACAGATTTTTGTTCCATTTTTAGCTTTCAGGACACCTGCTGTGTTTTTATAATCACAGTTAAACTGACCTTGACATCTTGCTGGTGATCATTAAGGCCATTTTAAAGCATACACTTATTCTGAATAACTCTCCTTCAAAGTCAGCTGTCAGTTTCAGTTTGCCTGAAGTGTTATAAATACATTTTCTGAACCATTCACGCACAATTCTTTTTTGGAACTCCTCTGATGAATGGACTTTACCCCCTTCTTTAAAAACAGTTATTGCTAATAACCTATTGATCTGACAGGGTTTTATTGTCTTCACACGACTGAACACCAGAGGTAAGTGCATGAATGACTAATATAGGTTGGCGTGAGATAGAAAATCTACTCGACATCCTCCCATGAGCCAAGAGGATGCAGTTTAAATAAAACAGAAAAAAAGATTGATTTTTCATTTGCTGTGGAGTAAACACAATTCATCCAGCTGCCAACCTTCCATCATTCCCCACACGCTGTTCCTTCACGATCTTTCTTTTCTTCCTCATCCCCTTCCCACACCTCCTCCCCCACACCTTCACTCCTTCCCCCCACCATTCAGTACGAACAGTTTGAGAGCACCATAGGCTTCAAGCTGCCCAATCATCGGGCCTCAAAGCGACTGTGGAAGGTCTGCATAGAACACCACACCTTCTTCAGGTAGGACCAGATATTGACAGGGAGACGGACACCTTTGTGCACTGTTTTTTTGCACTCTGCATGAACTGTTAGCACTTTCTATGATGTCTATAATAGGAAAAAAAACAGTCTTTAGACAGCCTTTGTTTATTAACCTTTTGTGTTTCAGAAACTGGGATTTCTGAGGTTTAATGGGGATTATTTTTTACATTTTTATTTTAATTTTTGTTCAGCTTGAATGTGATCAGTTTCAGAAACAAAGTCAAGTCTATTAAGCCATAAACATGACACTCCTTACATATGTTACACAAAACAACCAAAGAAATGTTTTAAAGGTTGAATATGGAACACAAACACCATAGCGACATCTAGAGTTTCGAGGTTGTAGTTGCAACAATAGATCAAATTTTCCAGCTATTGGGAGGCCGGATTCGCTGCTGATACGTGAAGTGACCAGCCAGCACCATGTCTAGTTATGAATCGCATAGGGTAAGGACTCATTTTTACTAATAAGTTCATTTTACAACAGTATTTAACATTAGAACATCTTCTGGGCTCAGAAGCAGCTCCTGGACTTGCTGAATGCACCATTTTCTACAGTGTCAGTCTTGCTGTGCTGAGCGGATTGTTTACCGTATTTGGCAACCCACAACGAAACATTTTATTGGCTGGTAGATGTAAACATAAACCCAGTATCGTGCCCATCAAAATAAATATTTGTTTGTTTTTTCAAATTAAAATATAACTTTTAAAAGAAATACTTTACCTTCATTCTGCACACCTCTAAACGCCCCGTGGAGGTATTATTTTTTTTAAATGTAGTTTTTATTACATTGTTCCAAATTCAGCCTTTAAATGCATTTTGTTGGTAGTAGCCAGTATTAAAAGTCCCATTTTGAATGCTATTTAGAAAGTTTTCGCTAAAGTAAAAAAATAAAAGTTTTAATTAGTATAAAATCATGATTTTTTTTCACTAACAAAGTGATTCCCACAGAGCTGTAAGCCAGGAAAATGCGGCATTTCTTATTAGGGGGTTTCAGTATTAAATTAACCCTTCCACTGTCCTCGTGGATGACCCCGCCAGGAAAGTTGACCAGTTGAGCAGGGTTGATGGTTTATTTGTTGAGGTCCACATGGCAGGGGTGAGAAGTGACAGTGGCGTGTCCAGATCTTTTAAAATGGGGTGGCCCAGGTGAGGCACAACTTTGTGCATGGGTGGTTGCACATGGTGGCAATGGTTATGCTATTTTTGTTTTACCCCAAGCCTTTTTTGGACAATGAAAAGCCTTTTTAAAGGTAAATTAGTGTGGTGGCGCCTGGGGTGGCCAATCAGATTCCAAGGGTGGCATGTGCTACCTCAGCCACTCCCTGGACACGCCCCTGAGGAGTGATCACCACCTCACCCATGCCATGTGGACCTCAAGAAATAAACCATCTACCCTGTGCAATGGTCAACTTTCCAGGCGGGGTCACCCATGAGGACAGTGGGAGGGTTAAGAAAATGAAGTTACTTGACAAGTGAAGGAAAAATTGTAGGCCTAAAAAAATCTGTGGCATGTGATCTATTTATTGTGTCAATGTTGTGGCTAATCGGTCTTTGTTTTGTTAATGCCAAAATACCATTATGTTTCCAGTCAAGCTGTTTTCCTGGTATTTTATTTATAGATTCAGCAAATCAAATAGATTAATCTATGTTTTTGGTGAAAACAACTGTCTTCCAAAGTTGTCAGCTGTTCAGCTGGTTCATTACTCAAGTTTAGATGCAGTTTTTTTGTGCTTGAAGCAGTAATACATCAGCATGAAATGGCCCACCAAAAAGCAAACGAGGCTATATAAATGAAGGACAAAGCTCCGAATAAAAGAAAAACTGGTAATATCTACAGAGAAGCTTCAAGAAGCTTGGAGAACATGAATCTGTCTCTTTAAAATAAAATAAAATAAAATAAAATAATGGTTTATGGTTTTTAATCAAGATTTTTTGGAAGTTTAAACATTTCAGTTTTCTTTAAAATGTCCTCTCTTTATTTGTCATTCATATTATTCTTGTCCCTTTCTACTTCGTGGTTCAAAGTTATCTTCCAGGTTCCTCTGATGCTTGGGTTGATAAGCGTCCCTGGCCTGATGGTTTAATTTCCTTTTGTCAGAGTCAAACTCAGCTATGCTTGCTTCTGTTTTACAGTTTACATGTTTGCTGGGTATTTGTTTGATCTATTCTTGTTTTGTAGCCACCAACAAGCTTCTAGCATAAATCTGGTAGATTTTTTCATCACTCTTCTTGGCAGAATTAGGGAGTTGGTTTAAATTAGTTGGTTTTTGGCACAGACGTTTAAGTGAGATCCACAACTGTGTTAAGGTCCAGATTGCAAAAGTCTGATTTATCCACTCGAGTTATGGTTAGGGTTAATGCTCTGGGTTAACTCTATTGGAACACCTCACTGTTACCATGTTTCAGCTATCTAGCTGATTATTTCTGGTACATTTGAAGAGATCGGATTCGGAAGGAGGTTTACTTTTTTATTCCTCATACTTTTTGCACCAGAACAACAGCATCATTCTACCACAATCATGCTTCACAGTTGGTTGCATGCTCTTATGTGTGTAAAGCTTCACCTTGACTCTCCCAAAATTTGGGGGGCCAATTAGGTTTTTGTCTCCTGACCACAAAACCTTCCCCCAAACAAGTCCTTTATGGACACTGATGATGGGTAAATACGGCTTGGCCTTCTTAAAAGAGTAGAATAATCACCCTTAATTAAAGATGCATGCACACAGTGAACCATAAGCAAGGTCCTTTTGGAAGAGAGATACCCCACAGTGAGTTCAAACTTGTGGACCCAATTCCATCATTGCTGGAGTCAGAGTTAAAATAACCACTGTCACTCAACATATATAGAAAGCAAAGATTTTCATGAAATGAGCCTTTTCACAGGTTGGTTTCCCCAGAGCCTCCTCCCAAGGGCTTCCTTGTGATTGGCTCCAAGTTCCGCTACAGTGGGCGGACCCAAGCCCAGACCAGACAGGCAAGCGCTTTGATTGACAGGCCTGCACCACTGTTTGATAGGTCCATTAGCAAGCGGTACCTGCTGCCTCGGAGCATAGATGGAGGTATGAACCAGACTCTTGCACTGTCTAACTCAATTATTTATTCATTTATTTATAAGCTATTAAAAATCTTTACCACTTGCCTCTGGGTTACTGTTGCCCTCCCCCTCTCTTTACCAGCCTCAGCTCTAGGGGACAGTATGGACCAGCTGTCCCAAAAAAGCTCCAGCGAGCGCACTCAGTTTATGTCTAGAGAAGACCTGGATCAGGAGGGCAGTCTCGACCTGGACCACGATCAGTATCAGGACCAGGACCAGTATGCAGATCAGGAGGTGGAACATCCTGACCGGAAGCAGACACTGGGTGCCTGCAGGTCAATGCCTTCCAAGACGCTGGAGCTCAAGGTACAGGGTGGATTCACACCACGGGTTTCACAGTTGATTTGCTTGTTGTATATTATAGCCGTCAGAGAGTCTGATGCTTGGGAACACGGGGTAAATTAATTACATGTCAGCTTTGAGTGGAGCTTTCATTACCTCTTACCTGTTTGTAAAATGAAATCAGCTGATTACAGAGGTGTCAACATTACAGACACAAAATCATCTCATTTATAGAATTTTCCTCCTTTACAAGTCCTGCATGAACTTAACACTTTTAATCTTTCTCTTTCACATTTCTTTTAGCTAAAGTCACTAACCATCATCTGCTCTATCCCTTCTTGGCTTTTATATCTCATGCTCTTCTTCAGAAGTCTAAGAGCTCTCAGTTTGAGTTATCTCACATCTCCAAAAATCTTTCTTGACTTCTTTGCTTCAAATTATATTTTTCTAACCAACTCTCTGACCCAGAGCTAAATGTGTGCTTCCTTGCTGCTGCACTTCTAACACTGCTAACCTCAGCTCTCTTTTTCTCACATTTCTGCCCTCCACATTGCCCTCTCATGCAGGATGAGGAGCCAGGCTCGCCTGTAGATTCAATGCCAGAGGTATTTCAGAGCTATTTGTCTGTGCAGTCCCTTTAGCTCGTGGATTGGTAACCTGTGACTAAGCACAGGCTTCCTCACCGTTTGTCTAAGGAAGTAATGCATTTTGCATCGTGATTTCCAGGATTCCTCTATGTAGAATCCATGGAAATGGCATGAGTTGATGTTCAAATACATGATAAACATACATTTATTTCTTTTTTTCTACTGGAAGAGAACCGGTTTAGCAGAAATTGACATTAAATATAAATGTCACACAGAAAATTGATGTAGTTTCAATTGACTGCACACATCTAGCATTCCTCTTTAACATGATATTATCAGGATTAGCAGATCAAGTAAATGAGCCTGAAAGGGAATATTTTGGCCACTCTGACATGTGTTTCTCCGTAAAAGTTTGATCTTGTTAATTGGTCAAAGCTTCTTGAATTTGGAGGGATAATTTACCACAAATGAGTGAAAAGTGTATTGTTGCAGCCTTTAAAGGTGTGGAACACTGAAAAGCCATTTTTTACTGATTATTTCTGATTATTATCACTCACTCTTTGAGTTTTTCATGCAGGCTGAGCATAAAAATAGTCTCCTACACCTATCTCCTGCGTTCGCTTCTGATAGAAAATAGATGGTGAAACTCTAGGATTTGAAAAGCCTGACAGATCTACGTCACACTGTCACTTAACATTCATGGACTCACCCATCTTGATCCATGGCAGGGAAGGCTGTTGTTAGTTTAGCGTCCAAAAAACAGCAGAGAATGTCTTGGCTTGTAGAAGCAAACAGTTAGCATTAGAAACACCACCACACAGCAGAACTTCTCCAGGCTTGTGTTATTTGTGGAGATATAACATTCATGTTGCAAGTTAGTGATAGAGTTGCGTTGCTGTCATCCAGACTGAGGTGAGAAATAAGACTCCAGAACCTGCCATCTGAAGCTCAGCTGTGATGTGGCTCACTTTGAGTTCCTGGAAATGGTGCACCGGTGTTTTAAGTCCCCATAGTACGACTTACAAGACATTTATTCCTACTAGAGACCACTGCAAATGTATTGATTAAACAAGTGTTCCACACCTTTTAAAAGCTCCAGTCTCTTCAATTAATTAATAAATCTGACCACCTGTAGAAAATGTAATACTTCTGGAGCATCCATGGATAAAATAGGATTAATTGATTTGAACTTTTCTTCTCATAATAACTAATGTAATGTGAAAAAGATGAAGGTAAAATCTGACATTTTGAATATTGGAGAGACCTGTTGAACATAAACTTTTTCTCTGAACTTAGGCCAGTTAGGAAGCTATCTAAAATAAGAGAGTAATTATTGTCAAAATGGCCAAAATATCTCTAATCACTGTTTACATTTCTGTATATCAGATTTATTTTTTCTAGTTGACCAATTTCCTGCTTTTGTTAAACTAAAAGTGGAAAAAGGTTTTTCCTAAATATTAAATAATTTTCGCTCCTTTTTCACAAATCAGGCTCTGCAGAAATAACGTGTTGCTTGTTTTGTATCAGCCTTGTTTGTTATGGATGTTAAAGTTTATATCAGTGTTGTATTAGCAAATGAAGGAACCTCTCATTTGTGGCTTTATAAAATGTTCTCATCAAATCTGTTATTTGAAGAAGTATGGGAATAATCCTCCTCCAATCACTTAAGCCCAGTCAATAAATGACTGCATTAATTATCGTTTGGCTGACACTAAAATGGATTGTCCCTGGCTTCTTGGCAGAGCATTATTCAGCCTCTCTCACACTCACAAACACACACACACACACACGCACACACACGCACGCACGCACGTACGCACGCACGCACGCACACACACACACACACACACACACACACACACACACTTCAATGGTGTCAAATGTTTGTCAGTCTGGCTGCTTGCCTGCCTCTTTGACTCACCTGCAGCATTTGTCTCTGCTCGCATCTGTTGTCCCCTCCCTCAAACTCTCAATCTCCTGCTTTGCTCAAACAAAAACCTCCTCCGTTCAATCCATCTCACTTGCTCCACCTCATCTGTTGGAAAAGGATGTGGTTCACCTTCGGCCCAAACAGGAGGTACTGCTTGTCCTCTATTCTTGGCATGTGCTGTGTTTGAACCTCACCAGGTGTTCCCTTGTTGTCTTATTTTTCTCTGCATATTTATTCATATTCTGAAAAGCTTTATTTCTACTGTACACATAATTGTTTAGTGCATCGCTTAAGAACTCATAATAGTTTTGAATATCAGTTTCAAAGGCGTTTGCCAGTAAAATGTATTTCGGTCGTTGTTAATGGAATAATTGCAGACCTTAATTAGCCCCGGCTTTGTGCTTTATCTGTCACAGACAAGGTGCAATGTTAATCTGTTTAAAAGTTAAGGTTTTAAATTTGTCTCTTGCTGAGAGACTTTTAAACCTTCAGCTTTCCAAATGGACTTCTTTGCTTCCACCATAATGGACGATAATGAAAAGCTTGATGAAATTTGTCGTATCAGTTTTCTGATAGTCTCTAAGACCTTGATTATCCATTTTTGTGTGCACTTTTTAAAGTAACAAAAGGATTCTTTTTTGAACTATGACAGATTTTGAAATTGAATTTTTAGAATTTTTTTTTTATTTTTGTCCTTCTTTAATCCACGAGTAGCAGTTCTTGGATAAACCAGAGGATGTTTTACAAAAGCACCAGGCCAGCATCAACGAGCTGAAGCGGGCTTTGAAACAGCCAAACAGTAAGATGGCTCAGAGGGAGAAACGCATCGCCTCAGCCACTCCTCCCACAGAAACGCCAGAATGGAAATCAGTAAGACTCTCATTTACAACACAAACACATGTTAATGTTCCCTGATGATAATTTGTGTATTTGCACAACAACTAAACATGTCCATGTGATGTCCCGCCAATTTGTTAGTTTATTATTTGGTATCCATAATGTAAAGTGATGGGGCCTACACAAATCAGACTATTAGTACTAGTGTTTATTTTTATTTCTTATTAGCACTTAAAATGTTCTGAACAAATCAGCAAAAAAGCCTATTCTTACATTTTGGTAAAAGCTATAATAATATGTTTCTCATTCAGGCTTATTAAAGGTGTGGAACACTTAAAACCCATTTTTAACTGATTATTTCTGATAATAATTGATCACTCTGAGTTTTTCATGCAGGATGAACATGAAAACAGTCTCCTACACCTATCTCGTGCATTAGCTTCTGACAGAAAATAGACAGTGAAACTCTAGGATTTAAAAAACCTGACAGATCTACATCACACTGTCACTTAACATTCATGGACTCACCCATCTTAAGGGGGATGGCTATTGTTAGATTAGCATCCAGGAATCAGCAGACAACATCCCGACTAGTAAAAGCTAACCGTTAGCATTAGCAGCACCACCACACAGAAAAGCCCCTCCAGGCTTGTGTTTTTTGTGGAGATAAAATATCTACAATGCAAGTCAGTGGTAAAGTTATCCAATCCGATGAGAGATGCCCAAATATCAGGAAACAAGACTCCAAAAACCTGCCGTCTGCTGCTGCTATCTCCGTGCTGATGCAAGCAATTCATGGTTTTTTTTTGCCCTGAGTACTGCAAGGCATTCATTCCTACCAGAGACCACTGAAAATGTATTAATTAAATGAGTGTCTCACTCCTTTAATGTAAACAAATAAGAATACAGTCAATAAAACAAGAACATTCCATTGTTGTTCAAGATATATGAATGATAGAATGAGTCTAAAAGTTTAAAACTATTCAATTTGTTCAGTAGATTTCATTTTCTAAAAACTACATTTAGCATCTGTGCAAAAAGGTTTATTTTTTTCTCTGAGAAATTATTATTGTCTTCATTAAAAAACACTGAAGGCTGCCCTCCTGCCAGTGAGCAATTAATCTCTTCTTGTTAGTTGGGAGTAATAATATCTTTCGGTTGCATCTTGTTGTATTTTTAATAAATTAACTGGAGGCCAAAAAAAAAAAAACAGCAAAAAAACAATCTTGTAGCTTTTGTTAAAAGTATGTTAGCAATTAAGTTCCTCAGTTGATTTAATTAGACCTTGAACCAAAACCATTTGTTGTGCTAATATTTTTAACAAGCCTTTGATATTCATTAAGAGTTTCATTGTGGATTGATATGGAACGACCTCTTCTGTGAACAGGCATAGATAATACAGGCTATAGACAAAAAACATAGACAAAATCCATGATAATTCTTGGATGAAATCTTCCCCCTACTATGAGTACATTTTTATTCAGTTCTACATTTCAGAGACGGAGGGAGCAGTTTTAAGGCTAATTAAACTGTTTACTCTGTCAATTTAGGCAACCAATGATGCCAAATTGACAGAGAAGGAGGATGCTTATGAGCGAACGCTGGAATCTTACTCTAAAGCAGAAAAGAGTGAAACCTCCTCAGGTGGTACTGAGACGTTAGCAGCATCATCTCAGACTGGTGCAATTAGGAGTAATTGCCAAACATCCAGGGAATCTTCAACAGCCAAACGAGGAGCATCCATAATTGCAGTAGATGGATGGAAGGGAAGGAACATGATGAATGATGCGGCCAATGGGCATCATGAGCACATAGTGGAAAGGAATGAATTTCATGAAAATGGGTACGGCTCTCCACCTGACAACCTGATGAGTAAAATGAATGCAGACAAGAAGTATTTTCAGTTCGAGCATCGAGAGAGGCCGAAGAACTTTGAATCTCCTGTGGCTTTGGACTTTCTTCCTAAGGGTGACAGAGCCAGAGGTGTGAGTGGCGTGAGTCATTGTGGCGGCTGGAAAAAAAATGACTTAAGCCCCATGGGAGAGAAGAACTGCAACAAACCTCTCAACTCACACTCTGAAGTCGCCAAAAAAGCTCCCCTCAAACCACAGAGATCAAAGAAATCTTTGAAAAAAGAGAACAAAGATATGAACCCTCAAATTCAAAGCCAGTCTGACAGAACCGCCTTTGGTGCAGCCGGGGACGTATGGATGGCAAAAGCATACGAGTCGGAGAGGAGACCTGGTGAAAACACTCTACTCCAGTCTTTAATGTTGTATCAGCAGCAAGTTCACCAGCAGATCAAGAATGACTTGTTTGGTCAACAGGAGCTCAGGGATTCAATAGATCAGGTCCATCAAACACAAATCAGTGCTCTTCATGAAGATGCATTTCAGAACACCTCAGAGTTTAGCCCAAGATTCCCAGCAGCTCCCCCCTGCAGCCTCCCACTTAAAACACAGTGGTCCCGAGACTGGCCGAACAACATGGACCTGAGCCACATCCACTACAGGACCCCCGGCCAGGAAACCAACAAGAGGAAGCAAGCGGTAAACCATCCGCCCCCTTCAGCCTGTTTGTCCATCATCGGAACGTAAAACATTGCATGAGCTTCAGGCGATGTGGTGCAGACCTTGTTTTTGCCATCTAGAAAACCCCTAATGACATCATGCGCACATGTACTTTGACCCTCATGTGGCTGTTCATGAGAAAGCAAAAGTTCACGTCCCTTCGCATCGCACCATTGACCGACCCAGTTCACGTCCATGGCCCTGGGAGCATTTTGCTTTCGCTCGTTTGCCCTTAAAGCTTGACATCCGCTTGGCCATTTCAGAATGCTTCGGGCCTTTAAGCAAAGTTTGCATTGCTTAAGCTTCAGGCGGCCTTAACTTTGACCCCCGGCCTCTCCTTCCAACACCCTCACAGAGTAAAGGTGGCACTGTTGCAAGGAGCGCCGAACCCTTCCACCATTTTTCTTTTCTCACATAATTCAAATCCCTTTTAGTAAATAGCTTTGGGCATTGGAACCAAATGTTCTACTGTGGCACCTCTGTAGCAATAGCAGAAAACATAAAAAAAGGTGATTAGAAATAGTCAGACTGCAGAGCTGCCAAACCTCTTCGGGGCTGGGGCATTCATATGCTGCATTCCTACGTGTGAATACCTCACCCCTGAATTAAATGGGAGAAATCAGTTCTTTCGGTGCATGGCATTACCATTGCACTTACAGTCATTTAACTGATGTCAAACTGAATGAGACCATATGTGCATGCTAGTGACATCAGCCTCAAGGTTTGAAAGTTTCCTTAAATTATGAGATTGACACTTACAATAAAAAGTGAGCATAAACAAAAAGATTATAACCTGGAGTTGATTTTATGCACACGGAACTCACCAGTGAACTCTGGTTATAGTTGTAATGCAACAGATTGTTGTGTTTATTGTGCTACACGAAGCAATTAGGCAGTGAACCAACTTTCAATATCCTCTAATCAGTTTTTCTAATATGATTATGCACATGCTTCATTAGTTTAGATTAATGTTTTAATGACGTTTGTGTTTCTGTTTCATAGGAAACTCCCCCCACACCTGCGATCCATGAGGAGCCCTTTAGCGATGCCTCAGTGAGTCACCGTAGCTCTTCTTTTATTCATTTATAAAATCACAGGCTGATGTTAACTAATCAAGAGAAGGGTATATTGCATTCATATAAAATGTTTCTGATATTTATTAAAAATGAGATCCAATCTTTATTTTTTTTCCTTTGCAAAGAAAATGCTAGGACAGGGTTATAATGTGGCTTGACGATGTAAGGTCATGACTGCTTTACCTGCTTTGATGTCTGTACGGAGTCGGTTCAAAATCATGATGTCATACTGGGTTTCAGATTAAGGGAGTGGAGTCACTGGTAGAGTAATAGAGTCTTCCAGCTTGCTGCCTCAGACTTTTCTGTTTATTTTCTTTAAAGTCCCATTAGTCATTAGACCCATCCCTGTGGGGATCGGTGAGCTGCAGCAGTGGCTGGACTCGGGAACTATTTGATGGTTATTTGATGGAACTATTTTTAAGGTAATTGGCATGACCCGACCGGCATTTGAACCTCAGTCTGCCAGTCCCAGGGCATACGCTCTTACCACTAAGCCGCTGAGGTCAGAGCATGACTAAAATCCACCGACCCAGAAAATTCATCACTATGCCACAATTGTTGCGTTTTTGATTTACATTATGATTACCTCATGCTACTTTTGCATCGGGTCGCCGCCCTGCTATGATGAGCCAACCTATTAGAGCCATTTCTCAGTTGTGATAGAAATCCACCCAAACCATGTATATTTGAGTCAAGTCTTACCAAGTGGAGCCACACTGAGTAGCAGACAAATCACTTTAAGTGGAGTCCATTCTCCTGTTGTCCCTGTGAATCCAGAACAGCAATGTAAAAACATGGAAATAAATTGACTTATGTGTGCTTCAAGCACTGATATATGTATACAATAATCTTATTTGCAGAGGGAACCACGGGAGAGGCGTCTGGGCTCTGTATCTGAGGATGACCAGGACCATGACATCTTGTACCTGAAGGAAACCCACCTGGGCATCGAGCGTAAATGTTCCAGCATCACTGTTAGTTCTACTTCTAGCCTGGAAGCCGAAGTAGACTTTACCGTCTTGACAGACCTGCAAACGGGCATGGAGGAATTTTCTAGGGGAATGTCAGAGTTGGGAGATAGGGATCTCTCCCCTGATAGGGGGCTGTGCATGGGCATCGACCTGCTCCAACATCAAGGGCCTCCTGAAGTGCCTCCTCCCTTGGCTCCAGCTCCAATGCCCAGAGGAGTCAGCAGTAGCAGCCCTCCAGCCAAACCTGTCCAACCTGAAGAGGTCCGACCAGAAGTCAAAAGGCCCGATGGTCAGGTAGATGCAGGGCTCCAATAAATTCACACTCCACATTTAATTATTGTGCATTTGGAAACTGAAACCTTCTGTTTTTCATCTTGTAAGCCTGTTGTTCCCAAAAAACCAAAGAGATCAGTGCCAGTGTCTTCGTCGGTGGACAGAGATCAGTCGCACAAAGAGGCCAGTCGTGTCTCCACCATCACTCCCCTAAGCAGGGAGGCCAGTGACATCATACCCACTCCAATGGTCAGGAAAACTGATGTCAGAACAGAAACTCAACCCAATGGGTCAGAACTCACCACTACCATTGTAGAGTTCACAGACCAGGTTAGTTCAGTATTTTAAATGTTAGCTGGAAATGTCCAGCTATCCAGTTCTGAAGGCAAATTTTATTAAAACTAGTGTATGTTTCAGGATCATGGTATCACTGGCCTGAGTGAGGTTTCTTACTCTACAAGACAGAGTGTATCACCAGTAAGTAAAAACAAGACTGCAGCACCATTCTCTCTGCTATTTAAACCAACATACATACATCAGTATTTCACTAGTGGCATTATTGTTTAAGTCATATTTATAGTGACACTTTTTCATTTTGTCACTTTTATTTAAAGTGACTCATGGATTGGAAACAGTGTTGGTTTTTCTGTAAAGTACCCAACCATAGAAAATGCATTAAATGTAAATTTATTTCAGTATCAGCACAAGTGGAGCATGTACAGTAAGCAGGAGTAAGAACAGACTGTTCAAAGTGAAGTATCATGAGCGGAGGTGCTCTCTGAAGTGATGAATATTCAGAATATTGAAAATAGAACAACATACTTGCTTCATGAGTGTTTTGTAGCATGCTGCAGGATCGTGAAACCAAATACAAAAGACATTCTGTTCTGAAACAGCCAAGCATCTCAGGAAAATGTTATCAGAATATAATATAATAATATAATAATCATTGTCCTATTACAGCACCAATTAAAAATAGTTTAGTATATCCTCGTAGCAAAAACATATATATATATATATATATATATATATATATATATATATATATATATATATATGTATATATATATATATATGTATATACAATTAGTCAGCCTACACATTCCAAGACAAGGAAAACAAAAAATGTCTGAGAACCTAGCCTTGAGGTACACCACTGGAATGAAGAGGGTCTGTTTAACCCTAATAGCTTTCACCCTAACAAGGATTGTGATCAGGCTTTTTGACAACATTTGGAATAGTCAGAATTGTTCCCAAAGCCAACACATTTTTGGGAATTAATTGTAAGACGTTAATAGGTAACGATAGGTTAGTAGGAGAAATAAGCTTAAGGTGGTGGGATGAGAAGTAAGAGAGCTGCTTATCGAGGGGTTTCGGTACCTTGACCAGTGTTATTAATTATAGTGAAATGCTATTGACCAGAAAATACACAGACTATGTAATTAGACTGCTTTCTTGTTTGTTTCTTCTCTTAGTGAGAGGGTTGGCCCAGGAGAGCGATGCACTTTGGACAGTGGGTCAATCAGATAATTAATTGCTTATTGCCAGAATATTCTCTGTAAAGAAATGTAATAAAAAAATAAAACAGCAGATAGGATTCTCGAGAAGGATGGAACAGAGTTATAGTTGGTATCCAATGATTCATTTTCTCTGTTTATTTTTGTAATACTTCTAGCTGCTCTGCTTTATCAGGTACACAAGGGCAGTCTTGGAAGAGAGACATCAGGCTCGCCTATTCTTGTAACCGAAAATGTTACTTCAGCCACTACTCATGTCTCAAAGGTAAAGGCTTTAATAAAACATACAAGGCACGTGCTATGCATCTGTAGCAACCCACCTGGGTGCAGTTTATCTCATCTGAACGTGAGTTTTAATGAATGCTGTTCAAAGAAAATCCTCTGTCTGTTGCAGACGGTGAAAGGAGGATACTCAGAGACGAGGATCGAGAAGCGGATTATAATCACAGGAGATGATGATGTAGATCAGGAGCAGGTAAGACAAGAATAAGCTCATAATCATGATCAGCATCATATGCAAAAATAACCCCTCAAAATCCATGTTAAGGGAATGTTTTCAGGGATTTAAATGGAACGCACAGATAGGATAAGTCATAAGCATAAAAATGTATCTCTAATTCTTTAGATGGAAATGAAAATTAAAAGATCAATATGTCATCCCAAATATTTTATTTGTCTTTGTGATTCATTTCATGCAAACAAAAGAAAAAACAACTCCTTTTGTCCTTCCAGGCTCTGGCCATTGCAATACAGGAAGCTAAGCAGCAGCATCCAGACATGCAGGTGACCAAGGCGGTAGTTATTAGGGAAACCGAGTCATCTACTGAAGACCGACATGGCACATCATAGGTACATGTAGCATCTTATCTCTAAGTACTGCTATCATTCCATTACTGAAATGCAGGAGTAACAGTTGACCAGCACTTCCTTCTTCTCTGCAGTCTCTGCATACTGAGACATTAGTGCCCCCATGTGGACCAGAAGGATCAGTACCTGGATTTGCCACCCACCATCCCTGATGAAAGGACTGCCATCAGTGGTCTGAATGAGCCTAATGAACAATTAAATGGTGAAACAAACCACATTTTCAACCATTAATGTGTTTTTTATTTTTATTTTTTGTAAACATTTTTGCTCAATAGAGTGGTTCACAGTTCAAAGCTCTAATATAAAGAGCTACAAAAATCTCAAAGCTTCTGAAACATACATTCACATAATTTATTTTACTAATCCTCTGAGGTCTAAGGTGTTTAGATATGATATGCACTAATTCACTGTTTAATAATGCAAGGTTTTATGATGGAAACCATTCAACGCAGTAGATGTCCACAGGGAAATTAGGAAATATGAGTGACTGTTGAAGTGTGGGGAGAAAAAAGAATCCTGCTGGACAAACTTGCTGTCTGTTTCTACATTTTGTTGTTACTGGTAGCTCTATATGGTTCCAATCAAACACAAGGATTTCCATTTTCAGTAAAAAGATCAGATGTCCTTTGTTTGACCCAAACTAATTAATCAATTCAGATGCACTGATGAAATTCTCGTCCTTTGACGGTATTTATTCACATCCCTTTGTCCTTCTTGTATTTTCTTCCATTCGACGTGTTTCACCTTGATGAGTGGGTGGCAAGTATGCAAGGATAAACACGAGGAGCTGTTGACACACAGCATTCCTTGTGCATTGGTTCAGCGTATTTGTTTTCTGAGCATGACAGTGTTTCAGAGCGAGCCCGGTTTCTCTCCTCTCCCTGCCTTTTAGATATGCTGGATGTAATGCCATTTGGGCAAATGTCGTGTAGTAAATGCATAGAGTAGGCTCACAAACCAGCTGCATCAATACAAGTGGTACTTGAGATATGTTTGCATGATCATCCCTTGCATTATTGGGTAGTCAGGAGGCAAATGGATGTTGACTCAGGAGGATGATCATGACGTTAAAAAGTGACATAAAGATTTAAACTCAAAATGTTTAACAATCTGGCTTCGAATCATGCATCAGTGACTAATATCAGCTCTAAGAACTTTAATTTGTTACAACCCTTTAAAAATTATTTAATTTTTGAGCCACTGGTGCTGTACAGTTTTATCTGAACATATCAGCTCCTTTCTTTTTTTAAACTTTTGCACTAAAGGAACAATAAACTGGTCTTATTTGTTGTATTTATTCATTTATTTATAATTTGTATGGTTGACTCACACCCAGTCTACCCTTCTTCCAAGCCACTTTGCTGATATGGTCTTATGCATCAGTACTATTCCGACGTATCATGTAAAGTACATTGTTTTAAAAAGAAAACCATGTAGGTCAAACGCCTCTGAAGTCGTAGCTGTGTGGGATTTAGTATGATTGTTAGAACAATGCCACATACATGTGACGTGCCAATTACGATAGCAGTGAAATTGTACAAAATCTGGTTTTGTATGAAAAAAAAGGAACAACTTTTTTTATGAACAACTACTTTTACTTATAAACGTGCCAGAGAGTCAAATGCATAAACTTGACATGACAAGGTTTCCCTTTAATTATGCTGTCATTAATTGTTTAAAAAGAATAAATTGCAGTTTCGTTCATATTTTGTACTGAAATTAATTTTTGCAGCATGAATCGGCAAGTTCAATTGACTGAAAAAAGAAAAACAGTATGGAAAGTCATGTCAGGTTTATGAAGGTGTAAATTTGACTTTCAGACACTAAACTTTACAGTCAGTGTTCACATGTGCAGTGTAACCTCTGTTGTGTTTCAGGTTTTGGTTCCAACATTTTTTGAAGTGATCATGACGTGTCAAACTGGGGCGGTTGCATAACTGTGTACTGTTCATTTGGTGACGTTAGGTGGATTGTAAAGATGTGAAGTAGTTTGAGGCCATGGGCACGATGTATACACTAGGGGGCACCAGTTACCTAAAAGAATTGAGCTTTGCAACGTCATCAAGCACAATCAGCTGAAGTCCTTCTCATCACACCTCATTGGAACTTATCCAAATCTTCCTCGGATCAACCTGGAGGGACGCTTGGCGAAGTGTGGCAGGATGAGCTGTGGTTGATCCATAAACAATCTCCACTTCCACTTCATCTCCTCTGCTCTGATGCTCTCCATTGCTTGGTGCTGTGTCTTTGCTGTACATTGTAATTAAATTCCTTAAAAAAAATAAAGATGAGGAAAATGGACAAGACAAAAATCACTGTTTGAGATGTGTTTCTGTTACATTTCATAAGTATTTATGTATTTTTTTTAAATCAAGTTGTCAAATTCAATAATCAAGATGGACTCAAAATTTAAATGCTAAAAAATTTGTATTTTTTATAATTTACATTTGGAAATTTAATAATAGTTAAGAAGTTAATTTGTAGCATCTACTTCTAAAAACAAAAACAATGAAACAAAAATGATCTTGGGCAAATATTTTTACATATAAGTGATGTTATATACTTTAATATCTCACTTGTCTGAAAAGGTTCATTTTCTTAGCAAAGTTTTTTTTTTTATTCGCCACACCTAAGGCTTTCTTCACAGGGTGGCTGGGCTCTCCCTTTGAGATAGGGTGAGAATCTCGGTCATCCAGGAGGGGCTCAGAGTAGATCCACTGCCCGTCCACATCGAAAGGAACCAGTTGAGATGGCTTGGGCATCTAGTTAGGATGCCTTCCTGGAGGGGATTTCCAGGCATGTCCAACTGGGAGGAGACCTAAAAGAAAAGACCCAGGACACGCTGGAGGGACTATGTCCCTCGGCTAGCCAGAGAACACCTTAGGGTTACCCCAGAGTAGCTGGTCCAAGTGGCTATGGAGAGGGAAGTATGGGCCTCCCTGCTTGGGTTACTGCCTTTGCGACCCGACACCTGATTCACGGCCAAAAATGGATAGATGGATGGACACCTAAATACATTTTAAAGGGCAGCTCAGGGAGTTGAGTTGGTTTTCCAGAGAATTCTGCTGTTGTCTCCTTGGGCAAGACACTTAACCCACCTTGCCCGCTGGTGGTGATCGGAGGGACCGGTGGCGCCTGTGCTCAGCAGCCTCGCCTCTGTCAGTGCTCCCCAGGGCAGCTGTGGCTACCTTGTAACTCATCACCATCTGTTTGTGAATGGATGAATGATACACTGTAGTGTAAAGCGCTTTGGAGTCCTCTGACTCGATCAAGCACTATACAAGTGTGGGTCATTTATCATTAAAAATAATTTTTACAGGTCATTATCATGAAAATGTTCTAAGAAGTTATACATTATCATTTGGTGCTTTCCACCAAAATAATCTGCTCTATAGTACCAAAAAAATCTCAATAAAGTTTACAGCTGATATTTTGTTGGAATAAAATTCACAACAGAGAATAAATGAAAGTACACTGCACACATGGCATTCAACCAGAGGAGAAAGTAGCTTCAAACACAGATTTTGGAGTCTTATTTTCATGATATTTGGACATCTCGCATCAGATTGAATAGCAGCAATGCGACTGAACCACTGATTCCAGTTACTCTGCAATGCTGAAGTTTTTTTTAATCACAAATAACACAAGCCTGGAGGAGTTCTGCTGTGTGGTGGAGTTGCTGTCGGGTTGGTTGGCTTCTACTAGTTGAAATGTTCTCAGCTTTTTTCTGGACGGTAAACCAACAACAGCCTTTTCTAACATTTAATCTGTGGCCACTTGTGACACCGATGACAGAAATGGTAAAAAACAGCATTATCTTTATTAAAAGCAGGTGTATCCATTCAAACACCCTCAACAACATTGACCAATTTCATGCCAAACAGTAGCTGACAGTGAAACACTGACCCCACCTAGTGGTAAGCAACGCTAGAAAAGTCCGAAATGTTTGCTAGTTACTGTGATGCTCATCAGGATGAAAATGTGAGAAAGGCCTTTTGTTTCTGAGCCTAAAACTTCCAAAAAGATGACTTAGAAATGGACAAAAATGCAAAATATCAACACGGTTAAAGCATGAGAGCCAAAGTATTATTTGGATCAACAGAAAAAGCTAAAGAAAATAAATACTGAACAATAACATCAAATATAATCATAAGACTTAAGGCTCATTTGGGACCTGAGGATTTTATACATATGTTCCTTTGCTAAACACCTACAATGGATGAGGGAGCAAAGTGAGACACTAATCATCAGCTCAGCTGTTTCTATGAAAGCCGTACAGGCTGCTGCTTGGTCTACACAAACGACAGGTGAAACTGAGTCCTGTCAGCTTTGGTTCCAGTCAACTTTATGGCGACATGTAGAAACAAAGTAGGAGTAAAATCCAGGTAAAATCCAAAAGGTTCAAATTCTGGTTTGTCATAAAGCAGTGGGGCTTACCTCCCCTATTTTCCTCCTCCCGTTTCGTTTCACAAGGAAAAAAAATAACAGTTGGTTTCCGATGTTTCTCAAAGAAACTCTGGGTTTGAATGTACTTTAACTTACATAAACAAGTCGGTGATTTAGGTCCTTTCCACTCTCAGTTTGGTTTAAATCCAGTCCAAAAAAAAAATTTGAGTGGTACGCACGTCACATATTCTCTTATAGGAGAACTCTGACAGTTACACATACATGTCCTAAAGTACCATCCAAGGTGAAAACCATATGAGAATATCCACGACTTAGAAAGGAGACGACAAAAGAATAAAAAAGTAAAACATCACTTCTTCAAAGAGACTGGAGTCAGTCAAGTCAAGGCTTCCTGTCAATTTCAAAAGAAGCAAATTCTGAAAGAGCTAGTTCCTTTCAGTAAACCACTTTAGAATTGTGAAGGGAAAGAATCTTCTTCACAAAAGGATCTTTGTAGAGAGAAGAGGAAAGACTCAGCAGGGTGGAAAAGGGAGCGGGAGGAAACGTGGCTGTCGGTCTTGCGATGTCTTTGACCTGCTGTTTTTTGATTTTCTCCTCTGAATGAGAAGCTGTAGTGCCTGCATGTTTGTCATAGGACCATTCTGCTTGTGAGAATTAGAGCTGCAAGACTGACCAGTGGAAATGCCAACGACTCCGGGGCTGCTCCCGTGGCTGTGGAGCCTGAAATACAGAATAAAATAAGAATTGTAATGGTTTTCTGAGCTTAGTAAGACATTTATGATAACCTTTTCATATTTCATTTGAGTTTAGATTAATATAAAGACACAGACACCTAATTAAAATGTATTCTGTGCAACATGTCACCAGCTGTGAGTACATGTATGCATCAACAGATGGCAGTAGCACAACAAGCTCCATAACAATGATCTTTATAGAGCCAGACAAGTGAAGCAAACTCAGCAAAAGAGCCATCTTTGATTAAAAGGAAACATTCACTTTGAAATAATCAGCTTCTGACATTTTTAGGACCAGTTACAGACAACTTTGTTGTTTGATCATCCATGTTTCCCAGATCTAAGTAAAGAGAATGCATTAATATTCACTGATGGAGAAAATATCCTGTTTGAAATCTAATTTAACCTTTTTTTTTTTTTTACCATGTCCTGTCTGGCTGTGAAGCAAGCAGAATTGATGTCTGAATGCTGGTAACAAGCCTTACAGATTTACTCTCAGGTGGAGCATCAAAGCGACTGCTTTTAATGTCACGCATGATACTTAAACCTTTATTGTTATTGTTTTTGAATGCTTTGTAATTCCGACCAGGCACAGAGTCAGAGGTGAAAGAGAAAAGAAAAGACAAAAGGTGGGGAGAGAGGGTGGAAGGGGGTTCCACAAAATAAACAATAATGAACAGAAGTCTGCTTCTAGACCTGTAGAAAGAGACAAGAAAAAAAAGCAAATAAAACAACAACAACAAAAAAAGGGACACAACAACAATACAACAAGATCAAGCTATCACTGCGTCAACTTGATGAAGAAATATATAATCAACATTGTTGAACTGAACAGTCACACGATAATAAATCACAGTGCATTAAGTGCCCACCATAGTCTTAATTTAACCATTTTAAAGGAAACAAGACAGAGTCAATGATCATTTATCTATAGAATATGTTTTGGAGCCTTTCTTTTTACACTCTTGTGCAGTAAATACAGTTGCACTCTTCTGCTAAACCTGAGAACTTTTTCAAGTGTTGAACTGAAAATATAAATGTAAAACAAGTTCAAAGGGAATCCTTAAAAAAACAAAACATTTGTAAACTAATTTCCAGTTAATACCCAGCTCACACGGCAGGATTTTTAAACTGTCATCCAATGTTTAAAGCATGAGCACACACGTGGCAAAATGGAAAATCACAAACATTCTAGTTTTGGTCCTACAGTATGGAGGGTGAAGCAGCTCGGCAAGCTCTACACACTACTCACAAACTGCTTTCATTCACAGACTTTCCCCATTCGGGCAAGGAATCTTGTGAGATAAAATGTGACTTGAAAGTAAACAAACACAGTAGAAGAAGAGCTGATTGGCTAAATGACACAATTAACAAGGAGAACATTTGTCTGACCCCAAAAATCAGACCAAGACAATCCAACATGTTTGAAAGTAGGGATGTCCCGACAAAACATTTTCACTTCCGATATGATAGCTATATTGCAACCTTCAGTATTGAAAATCACCAATGTCAATCCAATACAATATCAGCACCAATCATTCATACTTTATCTATTTCGTTCTGTGTAGAATGTATGAAAGGCTTGATCAAGTGATATTACTCAAACGGAACAAAAGCCAGGAACAGTAGGTGTGAAAAAAATGACAATTTTTTTATAAACCATTAGTGGCATAAATGTAAAATAATAAACAATAAATTAAAGACTGAAAAAAGTGCTAAATACTAAAGCAAGGTTACTTCATTTATGTTTTACTGTCAGCAAATGGTAGGAACTGCTGAGGGCAGGGACATAAAAAAACAAACACAATATTGTCCATTGACTCACTACAAGTTGAGTGCCTTAAGTTTCAAAATTACACACTGCAAAAATCCTCATGCAGAGTTTTGTGATGCTGCTTTAAATGCACAATGAGGTTGGACATATTTAATTTTCCAAGTTCTTATGGGAAACATGTGCATGGCAAATGTCACACAGTCTTTTCTGACCGTCTTTAACAAAAACTATTGCCACATGGCCAACATTGCTCTTGCTCCTTGCTACTTTGCTAGCATGCACTTCTCTGATCTGATACTCTGATGCGGGCTTTGCTAGAATTAAGTTTAAAGTGGAACGGATTGCTTATAATGGATATTTTTAATGCAGTCTGATATGATCTGAAACAGTGTTTTTGGTCTGTTATCGGACTTATTTCCGATATCGGAACTGAGCATCCCAATTTGAAATAACAAATTTATGACGGGAGCGGTCAGTGTTGAAAATACTTTGTAACCCTAAATAATATCACAATATGTATTGTAGCTACTCCAGATAGAAAACAGAGGGCACATTGACATTAAACAATATGTACTGACTGGGAAAACAACCCATAAACAATTTATTTTTGTTACTTTATTTATCAAAGTAGCAACTGATTATATTTCAGTTTCTGTAATAAAGTGAAACTTTTCTGCAGGAGCTGCTAACCAACTCACAGCATGTTTACTTTAATTAAACTATGTTTAATTTAATAGGATACAAATATGGCGACACCTTGTTTGAAACGGCTTTGGCATCAACTTCGGACTATTTTGGCTCGGGCTTTTTTTTTTTTTTTACTCGAGCAGATAGAGGTACTTCAGTTTATTTAGACAAAGGATGTATTTGCATCTTCTTTGACGGAGTATGGCGGACAGCCTCATTGACTGGCATCCATAGCGCTGTGTCCGTGATGTTGTTTGGTATCCAATAGCCTGTAGAGACAGTTTGAAAGACAACCGTAGATCCCGCCCCATGCCAGAGAGCCGTCACTAGACCGTGACCAGACTATATATTCTACACAAAATAATTTGTTCATCTTTCGGGGTGAAAGTGAAAAACACACAAGTATTCCAATGGTATTACAAAAGTAACTGTATTCTAAATACCATGTTTAAAAATAGTAACTGTAACGGAATACCGTTACTCATAATTAGTATTCTAAATATGTAATGGCGGTACATGTATTCTGTTGCATCCAAACACTGGGAGCGGTACTGACAACCTTCCGAGTGGACCAAAGCGTTTGTAACACACCACAAAAGGTAGGATTATCTTATAAGATTATCTTTAGAGCTTTTTTGGTAATCGTGTGAATCCTTAAAACTGTCAGAAGGGCAGAAGTGGGTCAAAAATCTGCATGTTAATCATACTGTATGAGCCAAGCTTAAATGTTCTTGTTAGGTATTTTATATGTTGTGTTCCCCAAACAGACACAGGCAAGCTTTTCATGTTATTTGTCACCGCTCTCGCACCTTCAACCTTGGGGATGGTAATCTGGCGACTGCTGATGCCCTCCCCTCCCTCACTGAAGGGTTTAATCTGGATGACATAGTCCTGGTTGATTGGCAGCGACAGCTCCAAGGAGGTGTTGCTGGTCTCCACCACGCTGGGACGACTGTGCTTGTCCTGGCTGTACATCACCTGCAGGAAGCAGTTTGAGAGTGCACGTTATGGCATTGAGTCACTCCAGACTGGAGTTCATGACTGATTCACTGACAGGAAAATCTGAGTTCCAGGTGTCAGAGGCGGACTCTACTTTCTCAGAAAGTAAAGACGCTGAATAAGATGGTGTAGATATAGGTAAAGTAAAAGAGTGGTGGATTCTGTTCATCAACAGGTGCTGCACGTACAACTCCTCTGGTCTGATTAGCTGACGTGTTTGTGATAAATGGAATCACCTGCTGAGCAGATTTCTACATTTTACAAAACTATTAAAAATGACAGTTACTGAGATAATCTCATTCACGTGTTTAATCCTGGAGCACAAAGACAAAACAATACATTTAGTCGTTATTTAATCTAGTAGGAAGTGAATTATTTTATATCACCAACATTAAAATTTTAATGCCTATAAATTGATAACTTCAATATGTCTTTCCAGTGAACATTTCATAAGATATTTCAGGGCAATGAATTAACCTGAACAAAGGTCTTTAGACTTTAAGATTAACGTAAATGCTACTAATGTCATTCTTTAACGAGTCAGCATCCATCTATTATCTTGAGACTACTTTGTTAAGGCAGAAGGATTTACATAGAGCATCCACAGGAAGAACTGGAATATTAGTAAATATTTAATGAGCCTAATTTGTGTGAATTAGATACACACTTGTAATTAAATATCTGTGTTTATTCGACATGAGCTCAGAATAACGAAGTAAAACAAACAGAATAGTAGTCCCTTAAACAGAATGAATGAAATTGTAACTGAGTACAGATTTAACCAGAAAACCACCATCATCATTGTGATTAATGCAATAACTTACAAGAATTAAAATGCAGGACATGTTAAGCATCCGACATAAATGTTTTACAGTGTAAATGTGAGGGAAACCTTTTTAGTAATACATGTTTTCTGGTTTCTCGTATTATAGCAAAGCCTTCATCTGTATTATCTTTCCATCTCATGCTCCCGTATCTCTCTTTTGTTTCCTGCTCTGGCTTCTTGCCAGCCTCTTCCTCCTCACACTGCTCCTCGTCTCCTTTCTAAACCAACTCAGGTCCCTTTGGTGCTTCATCCAAATCATCTTTATATTCTTTTTGTCTTCGCTTCCCAAGCTCACCAAACATTCTCTCCTGTTTGCCTCGTAGCTCTTACTGTGTCTCGGTTTGCCTGCGCTGAGCTGATCTTTTGTGCTTTGGCTTTTTGAATCGTCAGATAACCTCTTGAAAATGCCACTGGGAGCCAGGTGGGGCGTTTCTCTGGCCTGGCCAGCTATTCTATATATGTGAATGTACATGCAGAGCAAAATCATTTTGCTTTACCTTTTCTAGGCCAGTTTTCCTCTGCACTGAGTCTAATTTAGGTCAGGGTTTGTCACAATGAATTTTGATGGTATTGCCAATTAAAGTTTTGCTCAAAGTACTGGGAGTACCACAGAGCAACAGAAAGCTATGCTGTCTGTCCGTTTCTGTCCCTCCATGAGGGTAATAGCTCCAGCAGAGAGAACCAAACTCTTTTCTCACCAGCAACCTCCACCAGTTCCACCTATGGGTTCCCAGGGCCAATAAGTCCTGGGTTGAACCCAGGGGTGTCTTGCTAGCAGGGCATGCCTGAAGCACGTCCCCTGGGAGTCATCCAGGAGGTTGTCTGACAAAATGCTGCACCACCAGCGGGCTGCTTTTAAATTGGAGAAGCAGCAACTCTACTTGGAGTCTCTCTGAGCTCTTCACCCCATTGCTAAAGCTGAACTTTAACCCCTATGAAGAAAACTCATTTCAGTTCTTTTTGTTAATTATTAGAAATTCTACATATTAAAGCAAAAAGCTAAAAGAAAAAGTCCTGTTGGACTGTTAAAATCTGCTCAAACTATCTTTAACGTCGTTGGAACTCCCTGATGTCCTTGTTTGTGTGTAAAACTCTCCACTCTTCACCTTATATCCTGTGACTTCGGACTCGTTCTCCAGAGCGTGCACTTGCTCCCACCTCAGGATGACCTTGGAGTTGGATGTGTTCCACATTATTTTGACTGGAGCTTGACTGGGGGCTGGAGGAGGAGGATAAAAATAAGTAAAGGTAGAAAAACCAATAAATAACCCAGAACCACCCTAGCATGAAGGACACTTCTCATTATCAGTTTATCCTCCCTCCTTCAGTAATGAGCAGTGACTCGACAAATACGTGTGTGTGGGAGTAAGACCAGTCGTATTTCTGAGTGTAATTGTTGGGGGTGGATAAGATATTGTATCATAATCTTACATTTGATAATTAACTGAAATGTTGATTATTCTTGATCACACACAGTTCTGAGGAGAAGCTCTAGGATTTGTTTGGATTTGTAGAGGCTGAAGAAAAATTACATTTTTGTACACTGATTATATGAATTATAGCAGTAGAAAAAGTATTTGCCTCTCCTACTCGATGACTTCAATAGATCCTGTCTGACAACATTAAGAAGGCTAAAAGATCTCAAAACCCAGGAACAACATAATCCAAAATTCAAATAATCTGTAATCATTTTAAGTAAAAAGATGCTTTTTTCCATGTGTATTTTTGCTCAAACAAAACACATGCTGAGAAAAAGTGTGGAAAAAATAAAATGGATGAACATTTTCCATTGCGAGTGCTTCCTTTGCTCCTGATAATAACAAACACAATGAGCCCCTAAAGCTGTAGTAGCATGAAACAAAAGCAAGGAGGACAGAAAGTAAAGACAATACACAAAAAGGGCATTATCATTCGCCAAAGACCTCTTGTAAGTGTGCTCCTTACGTGGTTTCTTGGTCGTGACATTGACTATGTTGCTCAGTGGACCCACTCCGGCACTGTTATAGGCCCGTAGGGACACGTAATAGGTACTGCTGCCCTCCAGATCCCTGATGAGGACGGATGTTTTATTCCCCACTGTTCTGATCACACTGGCTGCATCCTGTTTATCCTTTTCTCTCCAGTACCGCAACTAAAAATAACAAAAACACAAGTTCCATTTCACCACACCTGTTTATTTTTTATTTTTTATTTAAAACATCATAATGTACTAAAATTTATTTAAAATATTATCCAAAAACCACCAGCCTAAAATGATGTTAAATATATCATATTATAAATATATGTTATAGAAGCCAGTAGGTGTTGGCACTGTTCATTGCGTTGGTATGAGTCAAATTGTGTAGGCATTTGCTGGTTTGACCTCGTAGCCCAGGATGCGTCTGCGGCTGTTACTCCAAGCCAGTGGCTTCCAGGTGACCTCTGCCTCCGATGCTGATATGCTCCTCGCCCTCGGCCTCCCAGGAGCTCTGCTCGGCTCTGAAGCACAGACAGCATCGTCAGAAAAACATGAGTTTACTACACCCACATCCACTGTATGACTTATTAAAGATATTGCAGCTCCATTGAATTCAACCACATCCCTGCATGAGAAAAATAAAAACACACAGCTAGGAAGATAGATTGTCTTAGTGTTTTATGTGGACCCAGAGAGGTGCATGTATTGTTAATATGAGTTAGTGTGAGTTTTTCAAAGTAAGAAACCCAACTGCTCCTGTAAACCTGCTGCAAATAGTTAGAATTCATCTCTGCTGTTTATGGTAATTTGGAAATGCAGAACTAAATTAATGTGTTCTTTGGTTGAATTCACTTGTTTGAGCCATTCCATTTTTTCCACACACCTTCTTCTGCTGAGTAGATCGTAGTCACTGGACTGAAAGGTCCTTCCCCCTTGTTGTTGTAAACCCCGACTTTGACTTGGTAAGGGGAGAAGGGAGGGATGCTTTCATTCTTGAACACGTATCTAGAAGCATCTGGGGATGTGACAGCAGCTTGCATCCATCCCGGCGCCCCGAGTGGGCGGAAAGCAACCACATACCCAAAGCCCGGACCACTCTGCAGCTCCTCGGGGACAGGCTGAGGAGGTATGAGATGACTCAGACACATGACTCAAGAGAAACAGGCTTCACTCATTTCACAGATATGAATATTTTTACAGAAATACAGCTTAGCACAGATTGGGGCAGTTAAAGAAATACCATGTGCATTGCAAAAAACAAATTTCTATGAAACTTTTTTTCCTATTTTTAGTCTGAAGAGAAAACAAATGATTCTCTAGAAAATTGCATTACTTAAAAAAGGTTCATATTCTTAAACATGATCCAAATTTTCTTGTTTGAAGTAAAATATGATCAGTCAATCAAATCTTTTATTTTCTAGTTTTAAGAATTCAAGCCAAACAAGTTTTGCTTACCCCATTGGCAGATTTTCTTTTACCCAAAACAAGAACATCTGGATAATATTTAAGAATATTTACCTCATATTAAGTAATGTATATTTTCTGGAATTTCTATATATATATATATATATATATATATATATATATATATATATATATATATATATATATATATATATATATATATATATACATTTATTATTTTTTTCATTTTAGACTAAAAACAGAATAAATGTCAAAATATTTAGAATTATTTTTTACTTGCTTAGAAATCATTTTTTGCAGTGTAAGCCAGCCATGCACAGGCTTTTCACCCCTTTTGAATCAATGATTTTATACTGAACAGAAACAAAACAATGCTCTCAAATAGAGATAGGGATTTACTCATTGTTTTAAATTAATGTAAAAAAGTCAAATGATGCAGATAAACAAGCTGCAATAGTCCAAATTCGTATGTTTTATACCAACGTTTCTATACCTGAACACTCATAAAACAACTTAAGAACTGAGACAGAATCTAAAAGCACATTGAATTAAGTCAGATGTTTCTGTGTTCATACTTACTTCCCACGTGATGACCACCTCTGAACGTCCTCCACCTCCACCGTTTACTCTGGCTGGAGTCACTCTGGGGACTGAGAGATCACACATATTTAGAGTCAAATTCAGCTCTAACTCTAAAAACCAAGTGGATTGTGTCTCACTGCTATTGAAAAAATGCCATGCTTAAGGTTCCTTATCTGTTTGTTTATAAAACTAATCAAAAACGAGACTTGTTGGTCGAAGAACAAAAACTTTGAAAAAAGAATAGTTTTAAAGTTTTGGCGCAACACATTTTTTTCATCTATCTAATGTTAAAAATCTCTTGTAATGGATACATACGCATTTCTTTGGTGCGGGCCTTCTTGGAGGGTTTGCTGGGTTCTCCTGTCCCGATGCTGTTCATTGCCAAAACTCTAAACTCATATTCCACCCACGGAGCCAGTTCAACAACCGTAGCTGAGAGCTGTTTCCCTCTTAATAGTTCAGGAACTGAGAGACATCACACGGGTATTTGATCAAAACCATGCAAAATTTTCCAATAACAAGGCAGCCCACCTGGTGATCTCTTATCAAGTTTATCCTCATTACTAGTGTTTGAAAAAGAAGAATAAGACATATTCCATCACTCCTTGTTTTTTCCCCCCAGCCCACACACAGTCTCCCAGATAAATCCAGCCTACCTGTAGTAACTGCCTGCCATCCCAGTGAGAAGGGAGTTCTGGCCTGGATGGTGTAGCTGAGGACAGGGCTGTGGTTGTCCATCCCAGGTCTCCAGGAAAGAGAGGCCGTGGTCTCATTTATCTCAGTCACCTGGCAGTCCAAAGGTTGGCCTGGAGGACCTGGAAGCATTATTAGTTACACTGTAGTCACTTAGACGTATACATACAGCAGAGACTAATGAAGTCAGGAGGAAATAGAATGGAGGCACAGAGTGGGTGGGCCACACTTTGAACTGATGTAATGGATGGATTAAAGAGACAAAGAACGCAGATCCCAGATGTTAATCCATAAGCGTTTGAACTATCACATGAAACTTAAATAAGCTCAAACACTGTTTTTGTTAAATTGGAGGCAATTAGAAAATAAATAATGTGCACATCTGAAAGTTGACGATAAATTTGTTGTTTTCTTCTTTTTTTGTAAATGAAAAGTGGAGATCCGAAGAGGAGGATTTCAAAAGAGCATGATTTGAAGGAAAAAAATACACTTACCTCACCTTTCCACTGGATATGTAGGCGCCGAGTAACGTAATAGATGCATTTTACCCATAAGCTCCCTTCCCCAGCGTTTCAGATGTGAAACGGCAGCAAAGAAGGTCTGTGGTTTATTTTCTGTTTAACTCGGCTACGGAGGTTTCACAGGTAATGACGTACTTTGTTACTAGTTAAGAGAATGGAAATCTTCATGAGACTTTTATTTTGAACGTTTCTGGATGTTTTACAGTGTTTTTGCATTTGACTTTTTTGTGTGGCACGATCAGAACTGCTAAACTCGACACGTTTTGGTAGTGTAGTGCATAAAAAACAGACTCAAATCATAAGGATGCTTTTCTGTGACGCTGTTTCTGAATCAGTGAGTAACAATTTTCCAAGCATCTTATATTAACTTTATAAACTGATGATTGACCCTCTATTTCTAATCCAGACCTGACACACAAATACCACATGCTTTAAGGAGAAGGTAAATATTAAGGACTGATATATTTAGAAAAATGTGTTTGTTTGTTTGTTAATGGATGAATAACTAACCTGAATATGGACAAATCCCAGTAGCACAGGATGTGAACAACCTTAAATTGCATCTGCAAAAGATGCATAATCTTTTTATATCACTGGACCTTAGAAATGCTTCATTCATCTTCTGTAATCACCTTAGGGAAACCCATACATGCACGGGGGTAACATCGAACCTGTGACACATAGCACCTAAGAGAGGATGGATTTAAAGTTATTTGACATGCCTGCCCTCTGGAAACAACTTTTGAACAGATTGCTCATTTCAGTTTCTTTTCCTGATGTGCAAATTAAGATAGTTTGTTGCTCTGAAAGCGATTTGCCTAAACATGACTCTCTGTCGGGATTTTGTTGCACCTCCATATTCAAATCAATTTGTTTTACTGTGTTTTTCTCTGTTTAAGTTTTTACTCCCTCTGATAGGACGTGTTCAGTCCGCTGCATGTGATTATGTCCATTCTCTTCTCATTAAGCCTTTTTTTTCATTTCAACCAAATGAAATTATTCATGGATAATTGTAACATTTTAATCACACGAGGGGCATCTTTACCTCTGACAACCACATCTGTAGCAATGGACACACTGTCCACTTTGGTCTGAACAGCACAGGTGTATTTCCCAGCATGCCTCAGCTGGATGTTGCGAATCATAACATCTCCAGCCGATCGCTGTTGAAGTGAAGATGGACAATATTAAAAAAGCAAAACCTGCATCTTCAGAAAAAAAAACTTCTAAACTGGTGCAATGTCTGGTGGCGTTCTGCTTATTTCATTAGGGAAAAAAAACAAACACAAGTCCAGGGACACAGCAAATATCCAAGTGCTGCATTTGATGAGGACTTATGAGGACAGATCTTTGTGAGGAAATAAAAAGCTGCTTTCAGCGCTGACTTCTTTTATTCTACCAGATTCAATTTTCTCCACAGAAAACCATTCAGTGCCAAACACATTATTAGCTTTGAACTTTAAAGTTAGAGCTAATATCAAATTGACATGTTGTCTGTAAAAGTGAGGAACTGTAGAGGAAGATGAGACTCTTAAGCGACTTTGATGTATAATCAGGAACGTTTTTAGGAGATTAAAACACATTTTGCTTCAAATCATTCCTGCTTCAAAAACTCCTCTCCCTACGTCTAAATGATACAAGTCTACTAGAAATTAGTTTCAGATGTCTCGTTTAGGGTAAATCTAAATAGCAGAGATTTTCACAATAAATTAGGAATGTGAGGCAATTGCTAAAAACAAGAAAAATATATATTTCTGATGAAAAAAGTAATTTGCTGTCTTTACCATAGTATTTTCACTATAACTTTGAAATATAGAAAATCAGATTTAGATAAATAAAATAGTAAATGAGCTACTTTAATTCTCTACAGTGTATAATTTTATCCAAAATAAAAAGGGGATAGATGTGTTTTAACATGGTTTCAAGTCTCACAAGGCTTTGATTTAATCTTTTCTGATGCTGGAAGCTTTTACACATTTCAGTGAAGTTGTGGCCATAAAGTAGAAGCTCTAATCTCCAAGATGATGCACCTTATTTAAATCTCATCAAATGTTACTTTTATTTAATTTAAATCACATTGTTCAGGCGCATTACTTGAACCAACTTACCCCACCAACTTTTTCAAAAAAGGAACCATGGCTTCCAAAGTGGATGAGCTGCTCGTTGAAGAACCAGGTGAACTTCAGGTCAAGTGTTGGGTCATGTGAGACCTGACAGGGTAGCACAATGCTCTCCCCCACAGTCACATCCAGGTGACCCGCTGGACTCGTGATCGCGGTGGCCTCTGCACACAGCACAGATTCACAAAGCCTGTCAAATTCTTGTTTTGGTTTTGTTCTTTTGGACCTTATCTAACACCAGCATGCTGTAAAGATGCTTCTTTGATCAAAACACTGTTTGTCTGTTCATTGCACTTTGACAAACAGTTATAAAACACTTCACACTGAAACGAAAGACAAAAAAAAACTGTCCTTTTGATCTAATCCATTCTGAAATGTTAACCAAACAAAACAAATTACTTTTGAGTTTGGCTTAGTCCCTATTTTGCATTTTACTTTGAGTCTCACAGCAGTATGGTATAAATCATTAAATAAGAGAGAATAAATAAAATTAAAAAGAAAAAAGAAAGCTCCATAATGGAAACTGCGCCGAAGCTGTAATTTAAAATCTGTTTGTGTGCGAGACAAAAAGGCACACTACTTCATCCTCTGCATGGTGCTCATCAACATAATCTTTGGTTGTCTCAGCTGGATGTCTCATTCAGCAGCAGATAATTCATCTCAGCCTGAGAGGCCTCCGCACACCAGTCCACTGTGATTTATGCATGCATGTCATAAGCATCTAATGGAAAGGCTGGCCAATGCAACATGTCAAGAGGAGTAAAGGTCTATATTCAGCTCTGTCAAAACAAGCTAGCTTGTTTATCTCCTGGGGCCTGAGGAAAACAGACTGTCTCTGGCATTTTATTCCAGGTGAGTATTGAGAAAGTTTGGCTCAAGTTGCAAAATAAGAGAGGCACAACTTTCTGCTGATGATTGCAAATATGTCAAACTCCTTTCTTGGTATGGCAGGACCTGCTTAGCTACCTGATTCCCTGCAGTGTCACATGTGAATGATAATTCTCCTTCTGTAAACCAAATAAACAGTAGAAAGAGAAAGTATACAATTGATAAGACAGTTTTACTGCTCCCAATTTGTAGCAGCATGGCATATGATTACTGAGTATCTGAGGATCCATATTTAATATTAAGCCTGGAGTGTAATTAAATTAGAATAACACATCAGGTTGGATATGGATTAACCATCCACTGAGTATGAAATCTGAGGAATAAATTACTTCTGCAAAAATAAATTACATTAACATCAACTAATCAGATTGTAAGACAAAAAAAAAATCAACTTTTGCACGTGATCAACATGTTTTCTGTTGTTGAATAGACACCAGTTAGAGACCACGATTCATTCAAAGTTATGTGAAATGTCTGATGATGAATGAACATTTCAGTCCAGTTTTCATTTGATCGTTTGAATGTTTTGTTGCAGTCTAAATGTGCTCCAGCATAACTTCAGTGTGTTGTGTTCAGAACTTTGGAGGGCATCATTTTAATCTGACAGCTACAAAATGAGATAAAGCTATAGAAAAAAGTCAAGCATGCATCAAAGAAGAGATGAAATATCAGGGGAAAAACTTTTTGAAACCCTGTTTTTATTTCTTTCTTCATTTTTTTAATATAGTTGAACACATAAAAGGCATCTATACTTATGAATGGTGCATCACACAATAAGAATCTTCACTAAGTAAATCATTAAATCCATCGTCCACCTCTGCCATAAACCTGCATTACATACTAATATTATACACATGGACACTATCATAAAAATTCACTCATGTTATACTGTAAAAGACTGAATGAAAGAATAAAATTGGGCTTCTCTATAAACCCATTTGCAATTCAAAAAAGAAATCTTGTGAAAAGGAATCACCAAAAGGCATTTTATTAGAGCAGCATTGTTGACTTTGCTCTTTAGAAAGACCCAGAAATTTCCTAGCACTGCAAAAGTGTGTGATTTAAACAGATTGAAATCTTAAACAAACCAAGCGTGGCTATAAGCCACAGAGAAAAACACTCATGAATTAAACATCTCAGCGCATAAAGGCAATAAGCCTCATGTCTCACTTCCTCTGGCTGCTGTCTATCATCCAACACAGCATTTGTTTTATTGTCCCTGACTAATAATTATGAAGCGACAACTCCATCTTGTCAGTATCATTTTTGATGAAAAAGATGTACATCTGTATGCTTATTCACAACAATGCATCCATTTAATCTAACCTTGTGACTTGATGCGTAACTTTTTGTTTAAATGTAAGCTTCCTGTTGTTGCTCTTGGTCAGTGAGAAATGGCTCTGAATTATTTGTTAATAACTGTACAAGATTCGCTTTTTCTGCAATACAGAAAACTTTCATGTCTTCTATGTTTTGATAAAGGATGCAACCCAACATCCGTTATGCTGTGATCACCTAAGAGCATTTACAGATGTCCAAATCTTAGGCTCTCTTCATGCCTGAGAGACCCCACTATGCTCTCCTTAAATTATTATAACATGATTTATTTTAGGATATGTGGAAAAAACCCTCTCATGTGAAGGCAAACTTGTTTTTTTGTGGTGTTTTTCACGCACCGTCGCTATGCTTTGCAGTTTGGCGTCACTTTTCCACAAAAAGAATAAAATACCTATCAGATATGACCTAGTGTGCACAAGTCTCTTAAACATGTCACAATGTAACAGAGATCAGGCTATGAAGGGGTCTTACGGACAAGGGACCAGCTGCAGATGATTGTTGACAAAGCCAGGCTGTCTGCCTCAGTTTGTTTTTAATACACACTTGATGACTTTACAAAGGCCCAATCTCAATACTGGCACTGCGTTCTGCGGTCTTCAGCAAAGTGCACTTGGAGAAAGTGTGCTTTAAGGCTTCGAGTGCGTAGTGCACAATTGTGCAAATAATTGCAGAATTGAGACAGAGAGCATTGTTTCATCAATCGCAACGCACGCCGGGATGCTGGTCGCTGTGATGTTTTTCAGAAACCTTTATTAACAACTTTTAAACAAATAGCCAAACAGTTATCTGAAATACATTTACATTCATTGCCGCTTTGTCTAAAGGTTTTAGAGCATCAACTAATCATCCTAAAATGAACTAATTTCATTAGAAACTACACATTTTCAGAAAAGGAACTTGAGCCTTTTCTCCTGCAGCAATGACTTCTGGGTTATACCCTTGCTGGATTGCTGCAGACCCTGGCGAAGTGCAGATTAAGGGTGCAAAGGGGGCATGTCAACTTCCACACTTGAGAATCAAGACAACCTATGCACTCACACCCCTGGCCAGTAATGCGCAATTGAAAGGCGCAAGGGTGCAAGTATTGGGATTGGGCCAAAGAGCCTGCAGAGGCCGTCCACATTCCAGCTGACCAGGACCAGGTATTTTTGCTGTATGAAGGGCTCCATCTTTAGCCAGTAAAAAGAAAATAGAGTGAATGATATATTAAGTTAACCACGACTGGCTGAACATGCACTTCTACTTGGCAAAAATGGGTCCACAAAAACACAATAAACTGAGAATCAGTTTGGCAGAATTTAAGCTGTCGTTCTGTTTATGGTCTAAAAACAAATAAAAAAATAAAAAAAACACCAGTCAAGATTATTTACTAGTGAAAACAGGTTTCCTGGAAAACACATTTGTCAGCTTTTATCTTTGTTTTAGTTATTTTCATCTTTTTACATGTATTTTATCCCAGGATCCTCGCATTTCAAATTATCGTTGTTTGTCATAAATTTACAGAGCATTCACGCTCCACTGTGAAACACTTTGGTCTGCTGTCATGCTGTTTTTAAATGTGCCATATAAATACATTTGGTTTGGTCTCGTTTGGTTTTCATTTACAAATAATGTTTTGTTTTTCTTGATCAGGTTCTTGGGTTCTATGAAGCAACACATCGTAGTGTTCAAGTTACTGTAATACATCTTTATGAAATTATACAAAATATAATCTAACATATTGTTATGTTTTAATATTGACCTTTTAAAAATTAAATAGCGGACAGGGAGACATCTGCCAGTAAACATTACATATTTTAGAGTCTGCAGGAAATAAACCCATCTACCAGCCCGACTGGCTACTAACATCACTTAAGTGTTTCAAACAGCAGCTCAAAAATAACCTGAAAAGAAGAAAAGACCTGGAAGGTATGCAGTCATTTGAGAAGCTCCCTAATCCCCACTTCCCCTAGGCAAGCTCCAAGAGCTCGTTTAGCCCAAAAGTACCAATGGACTGAAGCCAAACATTACTTTAGAGTGTGACTCACAGAAATGCTCATTGTTAGAACTGAGAGAGAGAAGCAGATAATAAAGGAGCTGGTATCAAAAAGCCCAAACGTAAAAGGCTGGCCTTTTTTGAGACACATGGGAGTGATCAGGTGGAAGCATGTCATCATTTTCAAACTGGAAACAAGTCCAGCTGAAGAATGTCATCATAAAGAGGTCCGATCAGCAGACTGACAAAGTGAGCCTTTATATGCTCGAGTTACACTGAGTTATAATGATATTTCTATCATTAGATGTACAAATATGCCATAATTAATTTATGGTGGACATGTTTTTATAATTATCCTTACAAGGTGTTGTTTTATAAGAGTACACAACTAACAAACTAAATATAGAGCAATTGTGTGAAACAGGCAGCTGCTGAAAGTTTCAAAATGATAAAAGAGCAAAAAATATGAAAAAAATAAGGATGTAAACAGTGTGATCAAATGAGAGTGTGAGCAATTTTCTTGAGAGTGATATTGTGGAAAGTAAATCTTTTATTATCTTATCTCAAAGATAAGATGAAGTCTAAAACATCAAAACCAGAAGAAAAAAGCCACCAGTGGTAAAAGGACACAAAGGAGAGGAAACACCAAAGAGGAGCTTTAATGGTGTTTGGAGGCTTTTTAGTTTAAAGAACTGTTTCCTTTACCCTTTTGGAGTCAACATGAATAATTTATGGAAGACAATAAGTGTTGTTTTGTGCATGCGTGAATATGTGCACGTGTGTGTGTGTGTGTGTGTGTGCGTGCGTGCGTGCGTGTGTGTGTGTGTGTGTGTGTGTGTGTGTGTGTGTGTGTGTGTGTGCACTCAGGAACATATGATATGATGAAGTCATGGGGTATTAATGGAAATTCGAAACACTGAAGAGGGATTTAACTGTAAAACAATCTTTGTTCTCACACTGTAGAATAAACTTCAATCTTTTCTCTTCAAATGCCCAAACCAGTATTCAGTGTCTGAGTCTGATCTAGCTCTCAAACTTGGTCACACCATGAGAATCTGCAAGCTGGCAAAAATCCTGGAAACACTATGGTTCAAGAGCAAACACACAGCCAACAGGTCTCAAAAAGTCTTGAGGGAATAACTGAAAAAGATCAAGAATGAAAACCCTGTCTCGCTGAAGTAGGCTGAACCCAAAAAAATTCAGACAACTCAAAACAACAAACACAAATCCAGTGAATGGAGTTCTAACACAGAGGCAAACAATACAAAGACCTTACTACAACAGCACAAATGGACACAATTGGCAGAACCAGGAAGAACAAGACAAGGTGGGCCAAGAACTGTTTGGCATGACAGATACTAAGGCCTGCGCTGACAGCTACTGGAACAAAACACCAACAAATTCTGTCTGTGGGCTGGGCAGCCAAAAACAAAGTCCAAAAATGAACACACACACACACACACACACACACACACACACACACACACACACACACACACACACACACACACACACACACACATCCTTGTCTGTAACTACTTGTGGGGACGCAGGAAGGGACCATGCTTTGTGGGAATGACCCTGACTGCAGGTTATACAGCAATGAAAATGATCACACTGAGGACTGACAGGGTTGCGGAAGGCGCTTTATAAATAAAGCTTTGAATGATTGATTGATTGACATTGTATGATACTGAGTTTACTATGCTATACACACCTATACAAATAGTTTGTGTTTTTGTGAATTTTGGGTACCATCCTCAAATTTTGACAGGGTCTCCCACTTAAATCATTTTCACTTAATCTAATGTAAACTTTGCAGTTTTGGTCCCCACACCATGAGTGTGCTGTCTGGCGGTGGTTCCCACAATGGTAGAAACACACACACACACACACACACACATGCACGCACGCACTCACGCACACACACACTCACACACACACACACACACACACACACACACACACACACACACACACACACACACACACACACACACACACACACACATTAAGTCATTAGAAAAGTCAATGGGCAACACAAAGAAAATTTTGAAAATTCCTATTTAACAGTCATTATTACTAAAATATGAGAATAGAAAAATATGTTTCTATTATTAAATAATTGGTTTTTCTGAGACAGAAAATGAGATATATAATCTGCAGCACCAGTGAAAAATATGAAAACCGTATCAGATGGACAGGTGATCAAACTGCAACACCTGTCTGTACCTCCACAGTCACTTCAGTGGCTTTACTACAAAAACATAAAACTCATACTTGTCTTCTCTAATTTGAATGTGAGATGATCCATGTAGAAAAAGGAATGGCTGTTGTCAATAAATACATTGCCGGCTGCTGCAGAGGTGGAACTCATCTTCCAAAACACCTTATAGCGCCGTCGTCGTCTTCCTCTGCTTTTCCGGGTCCGGGTCGCGGGGGCAGCATCCCAACTAGGGAGCTCCAGACTGTCCTCTCCCCGGCCACCTCCACCAGCTCCTCCGGCAGGACCCCAAGGCGTTTCCGGACCAGATTGGAGATGTAACCTCTCCAACGTGTCCTGGGTCGACCCGGAGGCCTCCTGCCAGCAGGACATGCCGGAAACACCTCCCCAGGGAGGCGTCCAGCAGGCATACTGACCAGAAGTCCAAACCACCTCAACTGACTCCTTTCGATCCGGAGGAGCAGCGGTTCTACTCCGAGTCCCTCCCGAATGCCCAAGCTCCTCACCCTATCTCTAAGGCTGAGCCCGGCCACCCTACGGAGGAAACTCATTTCGGCCACTTGTATCCACAATCTCTTTCTTTCGATCATTACCCAAAGCTCATGACCATAGGTGAGGATTGGGACGTAGGTCGACCGGTAAATCGAGGGCCTGGCTTTCTGGCTCAGCTCCCTCTTCACCACGACAGATCGGCTCAGCGTCCGCATCACTGCAGACGCCTGTCGATCTCCCGATCCCTCCTACCCTCACTCGTGAACAAGACCCCGAGATACTTAAACTCCTCCACTTGAGGTAGGACCTCTCTCCCGACCTGGAGTTGGCAAGCCACCCTTTTCCGGTCGAGAGCCATGGTCTCAGATTTGGAGGTGCTGATCCTCATCCCTTATAGAGTCAGCAGGTACAATTAATCACTGTGCACTTCATATTGTCTTCATCAGCTCTTTTTGTGTTTCAAACATTTTCTCACACCTTCACTCTTTATTACAAACTCAGTCAGGCAAATACAATGTAATTTGTAGGATCATATTTTAGAGAAACAATATCTCATCTGTTTTATTAGCTCCCTCATCTAAAACCAATAAAGTTTAATTCACATTGAATAAAAACATTTAGTAAAACAAATGCATTTCTGAGAATGTTTGTATTGAAAACTAAACAAATTGTGCATCTTCTAAAATAGTTATCACAGCTTCAGTTTTTTTGTTGATATTTGCTTCAAGATTATTTCTATAAGACAGAATAAAGTTACATTTAAATTAATTCAGCTTCACTGTTTGGCCTTCATTTGTGCAGGAATGGCTGCTATGAATTTTTAAGGAAATTTTCAGCTGTGTTGCTCAACTTTCTGCACAAAAAAACATAAAAATTCTAATTAGGAAATAAGCAACTAAAAGAAAAAAAAAACTCACTTGCTGCAGTTAATCAGCACAGACTGTTGGCGATATAGCTCACCTTTAACCTGAAGGCTACCAGCACTGCTTGACACTCCAAACTGGTTTCTGGCTACACACGTGTAGATTCCTGCATCCATTTTAGTTACGTTTGATATTCGCAGACTTCCATTATCCAACACCATTACTCTGTAGGGAAGAAAAACATTTTATATATCACCAGTCGATCTACATTAAAAGTGAAATAGCAAGTTCAAAGTCCTGAAACATCCCAACTCCTGTCTGAAGTTTTCATGAGTTCGTGAGTCAGTCTGATATGAGAAGAAGCTCAGTTTGAAGAGTTACCATTTGATCTGTCACCACGGAGTCGATAAGAGCCGCACAAAATCACTTTGAGGCAAACGTCTTATTATGAGTTCGTGTTTATACTGAGGTGATCAAGGGTTTATAAAAAAAAGTGCTGAAATGCTGCATTTGCACGTGAAAATGCACATTTTGATAAAAATGCACAGAAACTTCATTTTATGTCAAACTAAATGATCTGAAGTGTACAGCAAAATAAACAACCATTGAAATGATTTCCTTTTCATGATAAGAATCTGGACACATTAAAGTTACTGATAATGGATTGTATTAAAAGCAGTAATTTACCATTGAAAAGCCTGAAAAAACGTGTAGACATGTGTTTAAAATATTCTGTTTGGAGTACTTTGAATCAAGGGCAAGTGAGAAAAATAAAAACGTTTAAGATAGAAGCTAGTTTGATGAGACTGATAAACGCTGAAGACGAGCAAACAGTTCATAAAAAAACTGAATAAAAGGGTTGAAGGTGATTGAAGCACAAAGTAATACATGAACTGATGCCAAAAGGCTTTTTTTTTACCTTTGTGAATAGCTAAACTTTAGCTCCACAACTTGCTCAAATTAATATCTGAAAGGATCTTTTCAAGTCATCAGGATGTAAATAGTGGCATAAAAAAGTCCAACACCACAATTAATTCAAACTTTTTCACCAGTTTTGTTCATTGTGTTTGCAAGGATTTTATTACCACAAATTCAAATGTATTTGTTTTGTGCTCACTGGTATGGGCACATTTTAGCAGATTTATATAAAATTGTCTTTTGTTCTGCTTCCTGAACATTGTTTAATCTATTAAGTATGAGAAAAATATGACATGCTTCTGGTGATTCTATCTGATTGTTATTGCAGAATTCAGAATGATTCTAAAACATAAAAAGTTACTAGTTCAAATAATGACTTTTTTCTATATGCTAAATAATTCTACATGAATGAATATACAACAATCAATACATGAGTTATATTGAGTACAATTTTTACATTTTGATTATTTTTCCAAGAATTTTAAAGGTTTCAGTGGTACAACTTAGCTAAAGTTCTAAAATTACTCTTTTCAAAAAATAGTAAACTAGTTTCTATCTACTGAAGGGAATAAAAAATAAGTGCTGAATCTAAAATTAAAATCAATTTTTGACAGGTTTAGATTAATTTAGGTTTACTACATGTCCTGCACTAGCCTCAAAATCTAAACAAACCATAAAAGTAGTAAAATATTTTGCTCTGCAAATTGGTCTAGCCATGCTTCATTGTGACCTCAGCAGGTCTACCATTGGCCCAGTCAATTTTAGTTTGGGCCAATCACAGCATTCTACTGTATGTAGAGAAATGATAAGCAGACTTAGCACGGGAGTTATGATGGAGAAAAACCACAAAGATGGCAGCGGTACAAGAACGATGCTCATTTGAAATTGTTTGGCATCAACACTTAGATATGAGCAGCTAGAGGCTATCAATATTTTTTTAATGGACAGCACAAAAGACAATGTTACATGTAAGGACAATGCAACCATTGTTTTGTACAGTTTTCTAGCCAGAGGCTAATTTGTAAACGTATTCCTTGGCTGGACTTCAAATAACAGCGTTAATAACATTTATCACCACACACATGCATACAGACACCCAGCTAATGTAAATAAATTAGTTTAGCTGATAAGAAACACCAGTGCTCATTTGCCTCTGTCAGTGCACCTCAGGACAGCTGTGGCTACATCGTAGCTCATCCCCACCAGCATGTGAATGTGTGTGCGAATAGGTGAATGACTGACTGTGTTGTAAAGTGCCTTGGGGGGGTTCCTGGACTCTAGAAGGCACTATATCAAATACAGGCCATTTACCATTTACCAAGGTACTGTATTTGCTTTAACGTCTCCTTTGAGGGTGTATGGCAGATTGCCACATTGACTGATTTCCAGTGAGATACACACGTCACGTTGTTTGTTTGTTTGTCTGATTAGTCCTGCTGCTGTCCAATTGTGTGCTGAGACAGTTTGAAAGACAATTGTAGATTTCACCCAATGATCGAGCTCTGTCTATTGGTCATGGCCAAACTAAATATTCACACATATAGATGGCTTGCCAAGATAGTCCTGCATCAAAGACTGCTCTAATTTAGAGACAGTAGTGCTCATTCAAACAAGATTTAGGTAAGACAATCTTACTATACTTATACATTTAATAATTCTAACTGTGTTATTTTATATCCGTTTGCTTAGTTTCCTTTAGTACAATGTATAGCTTTTAAGGACCATGCTCTGAGCAACACTAAATGTGTGGGTATGATGTTGTCCCAAAATGCCTTACAATTGTGTCTAATTGGTGATCACTCATTGATTTTAGTTAGATTTGGTGATTGTATTGCCTCATAGTAATAAGGAAATATTGGCCATTTTAACGCTATAACACTATCAGGGTCGCTCATTCCACTCATGCAAGTGTTGCACCTTGTAAAAGTGACTAGTTACAATGTTACACACATCAGTAATAATTGATTGAAAAATGTTCCCAAACATTTAGAGGAGTTTAACCAAGCAGAATGAAATATTATGATAAGTAATGACATCAAAATTCTTCTTACTTATATTTTTGGTTCATGCAACCTGTAAAAGTGTATTTTGAATCCAAAAACAAACAACTTTGTGCACTAGAAAGCACAAATTAAATATTTTGAATTATAAAATTCTGACAGGAAGTCATGAGCAGTACATCTTGCAATCTGAGCTTAACAACAAAAGTGAACGTCAAGTCCATTTCTGGTTGCCACCATATATTGTTGTATTTTTTTCTAAAAGAATAGAAATAGTATCAGAGACAGCAAAGGGAAGTAGTTTCACACCATCTTTCAGCTGTCATAAGGCAGTCAGGGGTCTGGATTACAGAGATGGCCTGAAGCAAAGCTGTCTTTACCCGTTCAGATCTCCCCAGAGGGCAGACAAGAAAAAAAATCCTACAGGAACAGAAAAAAATTTAAAAAACAAAAACTCCCTACTGGTAATAGGGACACCCACTGCCTCATGATTTCATAATCAATTTAGCAAAAATTATTAAAAACATAAAATCCAATAAGCTGCAGAAGAAGAAAGAAAATAAAAAAAATAACATTTCTAAACGTGAAACAGCTGTTCAACTGTCTCTCATCTCTCTCTCTCCCTTAATTAGATTTTTGCCACATGTTATTTCCACTGAGGACCAAGGAAAAATATGGAGGAAGTAATACATTAATCACACTTCAAACAAATGCAAATCATGTATTTTTCAGTTTTATGTCTTTCAGAATGTCAAACTCACATTAAAACATTTCTACTACTTATTCCCTCACCCAGAAAGGTCAAGACAATTTCATTCTATTATACTCCAATAATTATCATAGTTGCCTTTTCCATTCCTTTACTTCAGCTGCATATTGTAAAAATTAATTACCATACAAATAAAAACCTTGGCACCCAAGTGCTCACCTGCAGCATACCATCCTTTAAACTATCAGCTGATGAGCTCTTTCAAATATCAATGGCTTTAAAAAATTGAACATTGCTTTCTAAAGGTCCCTTTAAGGGAACACTGATCTTCTGAAATGATCAAAAATGACCTGTAGTGCTTCAAAGGCTGAAGAATTAAAATACATCCGTCCTCTCGATGGTGCCTTATCCCCACGGAGCCAGACGCAGCTTCTCCTAGTGAACTGGGGACTTTCTTTGTAATGGCTATAACAAAGAATTATGGATATGAGATGTCACAGGGATAAGACTTGCCATTAAACTGTACAAAAGCCTGTGTCAGGCTTCCTCCTCACCAAAGGTACAAAGGAAGGGTGCAAGATAGAGATGCTGAGAGAAATGTCTGTCAGAAATGCTCTTGCTTTGATCCCATTTTTCCCAAAGGGTGCCCTAAAGCAATTAAGGTATCTGTGAAATGTGTGAGGTGTAAAAGCCAGAGTGGCGTGATCACGTAAACAGGCACTTTACCTCAACCTCAACGGCTGGTATTAAAGTGAAAGACTGGTGGTAATATAAACATCTCAGCCTTGCGTAACACAAACTCAAGAGGCTGTAAATGAAAACATTATTTCAGCCACTTAGGAAGGATTGTATAATTGAGGCAGTATTTTACAAACAACTTGCAATTTTCTCAAGTGCTGTTTAAATCTTTCACTTTGTACGTGCATTGTTTTGCCAACTCAGCTTGAGATTTTTTGGCATCTCAGTAGCAGGAATATGAATTGATTCCACCAAAAGTACAATAGATATTGTTTAGTATAACAATCTTAAACACAGTGGCGTCTTCTCGCTTCTCGGGGTATTATTTCCTGAGGCTATTTCTTAAATCTGCTTTGAGATTGCTAGCAGCAAAAAAATTTAATTAAGGTAACCACTTTATTGCTAACCTCATAGCTTCCTGCGTACTTTAAGTGCCTGGCAATCCTATTATAGGACTATCTTGTTTTACATGTATTGGATATGAGCCGACTTAGGCATGGCCCTAGTACAATTTTATTAACTAATCAGATTCGGCATTGTTCTTAGATGATTTGTTTTCTTCTACCTCCGACTCTTGAAGACGTTATCCCTGCAAGATTAGAAAGAATTATGGGTACTTTGGCTGAGCCAGTGGGATGGATTAGTATTGTGGCAGTGCTGTAATAGCAGGGGTAAAAGCCTCATTTTGATGTGGAGAAAAGTAAATGCTAACAAGCCAGGAACAAGGGAACAGGCTTGCGAGAAATGCTGCAATGATGTAAAAACCTAACCTCCTGCATGCGGCTTACCCACTTCAGGGCAAGAGTGTGATATTAAATCTCGTATAGGAAATCTCGCCTTTATGGTTGTGATAGATATCACACTTTGCAGAGTGGATGTATTTTTCTTTCAATACTCGGCAGGTTGATAAATCTGCAACCTGAGCTAAACATTGAGCCAGCATTCAGAATATATTCTCTTACTGCTGATATACCTCCAATAAAACCTCCTTTTGTCCTTTTGTGTCTGAGCCTGGATTTGGGATTAACAATAGAATATAATGTGCGATTCCCCTCCAAAAATGTAGTCAGGCATTTGGAGGTGAGAGATGGCTAAACCTACAGCACCCACACTGTGGTGACGATGGATTCACCAGGGGTTTGAAGTGGAAAAGCTGCTGAGCTTGTTGAACAATTAATCTCATATCAAATGAGAAATATGGACCCCCACCAGTTCCCTACATGTATTAGCAGGTGTGTGTTGCCCCTTGCTGGTGCCTCCCTGCTAAAAATAATTATGTTGTCAAACAGAGAAAGGAGGCATTTGCATAGACCACAAAGGTGAGAGTGCTGGAAAAATTCATCTATGAAGGACACACACACACACACACACACACACACACACACACACACACACACACACACACACACACACATGTTTTTCTTCCTACGCTTATAAAGGATACCACTGACCTCCATTCATTTTAGAGACTGCATTATGTCTAACCCTAGCCAGGCTATTCCTAAACCTAAACTTAACTAGAACATAAATCACACCATACCTCCAAATCACAAACCAAAAATTGCTTTCAATATTGCACCCCCCACACACAAACTCACACACACAGATTCCTAGTTGAAAACTTGAGAGAACTACAAAATAAAACTTGGGAGAACTATGAAAATAACATTATAACTAAACTGTGACATTCCAGAGAAAGCCTTTACCATCTCCTCCGTGTTTATGTAATTGCTTTTGCGGTGCAAAGCCACTTTCAAATTTACTTGCAAAAATGTCTGGATTGTTTTTAAGCTGCCTTTTAACATACCTGCAAATCGGTCCCTGTTTACCGGATGTGAACATAAACATCATAAATTCTGATCAGTCTGTGAGGGCTGACAGACTTCTGCTACCTTGACCAGAATTATGTTTTCAGCAGGAGAATCTCTTCTCCTTACCTCACTAAATTTGTTTTCTCCTCTATCGGCTCCCCTTTCCACACAGGGATTGCATTGATCTGTCCTTAACCTGATTTCTAGTACAACAAGGTGTCCTACTCATTCCCTCGATATTCCTGCAATAGTCACAAAAGAATATAAGCACAGCAGCTACCCATTGATCAGGCCTTTGGGGCATTTTATTCTCTTCTACTGTGTCTCGGTGGTGGTCTGTATCACTGTTCGCCCGGTGCTCTAATGACCTTCCAGGCCTTACATGCTGCTAATGAGCTGATGGATCAGTGCATTGATCTGAGTGCTGCAGTCGAGGAATGCCCAATTACCTTAAATAAACAGAGCAGAAACCAGCCAGAGGGACAAAGTACAATGGAGTTGAGGAAAAGAATACAGATGACAGGGAAAGCTCCGAAGAGCAGAACCTGTCATGCAATGCAAATCTTAATGTATCACACTGTGATTCTGTTCTTCGCAGTTTGTCACCATGAATATCAAGTAGGGTGAAGTAAAATAAGTCAATGAAATACTCTTCTGCACGGAAAGCAGAGAAACTAAACACCTACCCCGAAGACAAAAGAAGTAACAGGTCTACATCAGTGAACTTCGTACCTGTGACTCTCTCGTAGGGCTTCCTTTCCCTTCCTCCATGAAATCACACCGCGAGGAGACATTCTGGGTTTACATTCGATCAGTACGTCGCCACCCTGTCGGGCCAAGGTTTGGACCTTTAACAGATTCTGGGAGAAGTCTGGAGCAATGGCTGAAGAAAAGAATTTGAAGGTAAGGATGTAAATATCGTGGAAAAGTCATGAGGTGAAGAAGAAAAAAAGAAGTTCACTGACTGAAATAAAAGGAAAACAAGCAAAAGGAGTCCAGTTATTGCAGACTAGAGTGAAGGAGCTTCCTGAAACATGCAGGTCATTCCATCCATTAGGCAGGTCAGCACTCTCATCCTTTTCTTTCTACACACATACACTTTTTGTTGGCACACAAAAGAGCCAGACTTAGAAATGAAGCATCATTTTCAGTGTTCAGTTCTATGAATGTTCCTGTGCTGGGCATTGTGCAATTAAGATTTGTGTGGTGGGACTCTGAAGCAAAAATGTAAAATAAGAGCTTGTCTTTTGTTGTTGTTCCTTCAGGCCTTAATTACCAATGCACCATCATCTGGAGCTGTTTTGTCTGAACTCAGCAAAAAGCTCTTCAAAGTGAACAAACTGCACGAGGGACAGAGCCGAGCATCTGATCTGTCAACATGTGCTGGTGCATGTGCCTAGACAGAAACCAATGCTATGACACACAGTCACAATATAAACTTGTTTTTCTCCTACAATTTGTATCTATTAAAGCTTCTTTCTGGAGCATTTCTCTTATCCGATGGCACCATCTAGTGGCTGACAAGCATATCACACAAAAACTCTGTTGGTCTGTTTTTTTAAGATGGTGACTTCACGTTTTTGTTTATAAATGTGCTTCTGTAGAGCTAAAACACGTTGTTTTACAAGTATTCTTATGTCATGTTGTGTTCTCCTATATTTATATTTTAGAGACTTACTTGTCCGTGAAAAGTTCATCAAGTCTGCATCAGCCGAGGTATTCCTTAAATTTGAAGCAAGTAAGTGGTAGTCTAACGCTATTGGTTAGTTCTGGTCGGCGCTCAGTTTCCTATTGCATGGAGCTCTGTGGGTCAGGGGGCGTGCTTAGCAGAAACATTAAAAAAGACGTATTTGTTACATTATATCACAGTACATGATAAGATAATCACTTTTAAGGATTTCTGACAAATCTTACATAATTTCTGAAAGGGGAAATCTCCGGAAAGCAGCTTTAATGATGAATGGGTGGAACTTTTATGAAGTCACTCTTGTAGAAAAACATTACAATAAGTATGTTTTTTAAAAATGATTGAAAAAGTGGATTCATTGAATTAAAGGGAGACTAGGCAACTTTGCCTTGCTTTAGAACCCCCTAGTGTCTGTTTAGTAGAACCCATACCACAACTAATCTTCTCGATGTGCATTAGTCTTTTTTGGCATGTTAATCTAACTGCAGAAATGTCTCCTCAGCCTTCATTAGTGTTTACAGGAGCGGTTCATCACTACATGGACAAATCAGCTGTGTTTATCTAAAACATGCAGGAAAGGTGCAGGAAGCTGACTGCAGCACCAGGTATGTTAGCTCTTTTTTTTTTCAGGCCTGACCAGCACACTGAAGTTGCAAATGTTGTTTTCTGGCCACAGAGGGCAGTAGGGTCTGAGTGACATTTTAATAACCTTGTCAAGGGTAATTTTAACAGGTTTATCGATTTAACTTGGATATATATAAGGGTAATTTTAACAAGTTTATCGATTTAACTTGGATAAATATGTTTTCAGCAGACAAACACATATTCTGCACTGTAAACCCAGTCAGGGGACCCAGGAGCTCCTCAGCATCAATCTTCTCCTTGTACATACAGTTACTTTGTGTCAAGCTGCCAATCAGAGCCATTTATATCTTTGAATATGAACACTGCTGTGTCAGTTGGACTTTGACAGATTTCTAATACTTTGGCTTACTAACCAGCACCTTGGTGTCAAACTGCCACTGCTAAGTGCTGTCAATGCATCAACTAGGATTTTTTTTCCCAGAACCTTGTTTGATGAAATATCAGAAAAATCAGTTTGATGTGAAAACATCTGTACTGCACTAAAGCTGACACACATAGAGTTTGATTCTTTTTGTTGACGGAAAATGCTTTCTCAGTTGTTCATCACACCTTCACTTGTTCATTATTAATCAATCTGATTCTGCTACTTCACAGATGGGAAGTTTTATATTAGTAAGGCTATATATAATACATTTAATTATCTTTAATTATTCAGTGTTTCAAATTTTCATTTACATTTGATATGCTAAAGTATTCTAGACATTGTAACTTTAAAGATTTTAAGAACATTTACACAGGAACTGGTCCATAATTTTGCTTTATTATGAAAAAAATTGAAGAAACAAAAGAAGTTGTGCAACAAAAGTTGAGGTAAGTTAATGAAAATGTTATTTAAATCCATTTAAATCATGAATCTATAACGCTGTACCTAAATTAGCCTTTGTTGTAAATACCTGGTAATTAATACACTGCAAAACCAGATTTCTAAGGAAATAAAAATGCCTATTTTTTAGAAAGATATCTTATTCTTAGTTTAAAAGAAAATAAATTATCCTCTAGAAAAATAAAATGACTTACAATAAAGTAAACATTCTTAAATATGATCCCAATTTTTTGTTTTAAGTAAAAAAAAAATAATTTGCCAATGTGGTAAGCAAAAGTTGCTAGGCTAAAATTCTTAAAACTAGCAAAATAATGAAAATTTTGATTAATTTACTGATATGATATTTTCATTGATCATTTGAAAACATAAGCCAATACTGCATTCAACACAGTTTTCAGAAAACTAAAACATGCACATTTTTAACCATATATTTTTTCTTTTTTGTTCAAATCAATCATAAAAACTTTTTAATGACAAACAAACATTAAATAAAAAGAGAGTGATGCATATTTCTACTAAAAGATTAGAAAAAGAATCATAGAGAATATTTCAACATTTTCTTTTTGTTCTCTGTAGATTTTCAGTTAAATACAAACTTAATAAATGATTATCAGTGTTTGGTTAAATCTTGTAAAAACATTATGAATGATTTCACAATATTGCAAAGATCCAGTGCAATCTGTTAGCACATCAAATTATACCTCCAAAGATATAAACTCTACAGATTTATGGTTATTCTTTGCTACAGCTGATTAGCCGTGGTAGCTAACAGCATTGATTCTAAAATGTAAACTGCTGTAGATGCATGTCCAGTTTTTGTGGTTCATGAGATTTTTTATTCTTCAACACAAGCAAACACAAATTTGGCACTTTTTAGTCGCAGGCAACACATATAGCAATGATGTAAAAAGAAATGATAGATTAAAAAAACGGCTGTAATAAAATTATCTTGACCCAGATGGAATTTTGTAGACATGTGCAGGAAATGTTCTGCCAACATGACTGTGGGTGTAAGTGATGCTACAGCCTCACATGTACCTGAATAGAGTCAATTTAGTGAAATCGTTAAAGTGTCGTGTGTTGAGTCCTACCAATGACTCGGAGCTCGGCGTTGGTGAAGATTCGTCCGTGCTTGTTCTCTGCCACACACTGGTACATCCCAATGTCAGCCAGATTTAAGCTGCTGATGGTCAGGACTCCATTATTCACCTGAACCCTGTCCTGCTCAGGACACACACACACACACACACACACACACACACACACACACACACACACACACACACACACACACACGCACACACGCACACACACAGGTATGCATTTAGCATTACATTTAATGACTCAGGATGGTAACTGCTGCACCGATCTCTCAAATCTCACAATATGTTATAAAATTAGATTTAAAAGGAAACAGAACTTTTTTTTTCCATTTATGAGATTTTTTTAAGAACAACCTCAGTAAGAGACAGATTCACCATTATGTGAGCATTTATTCTTCCCACCTTTAATCCATTACTTTAGCACATTTTAATTAAAACTGCATTTCCATCACCTACTGTTTCTGTCTGCTGTTGCCATGGAGGTAAAACTGGTGAACTGTCAATGAAAAATCCCTTGGCTTTGACATTAAACAGTCTCCTGATCCCTCGGTAAAAGGAAAAAAAAACATTATTGATCAGTGAAGCTAAAAGGTTTTGAGAGTTTGATCAACCTCTGTTAAATAGGTCCTCAGAGCTACATTATCAAACAGCCTGCTGCAGACTCTCAGTGTTTGAGTGTCTTCAGTCAATATTTAAAGAGTATTATAAAAACAGTATCATACATACATTTAGACAGAATATAAAGGTGTGGAACACTTGTTTAATCAATACATTTGCAATGGTCTCTCGTAGGAATGAATGCCTTGTAAGTTGTACTCAGGGGGCCAAACAGCTATAAGAGGGACTGCCCACCATCAGAAAATGTAACTCCACTCCTTGTCAAGATTTGAAAAATGCCATGAAAGTGGGCGTTGCCAGGAGGCACAGAGAGGCATGGCCAAGTGTGGGGAATTTACATCCTGGGAGGGAGGAGGAGTGGGAGGAGACTGTACAGATGACGTGAAATTGTACTTGCGCCAATCAATCACATGTTAAAAAGCAGTAGCCACTGTTCTGCCACAGGGGGCAGCACTAAGACGTTTTAGACCTAGATTCTAGATTTAATCAAGTTTACACAAACATGTCAAAAAATGCACATAAACAGAAAGATTGCATTTGTAAAAACCCAATTGTACAGTTTATAAGCAAAAAAAATTGTTTTGGGTTTAGTAACTCTGAGCTTCAGATGGCAGGTTTTGGAGTCTTATTTCCTGATATTTGGACTTCTCTCATCTGATTGGATAACAGAAACGCGGCTCTGCGACTGACTTGCAATATTGATGTTTTATCTCCACAAACAACTCAACCCTGGAAGAGCTTCTGCCACGTGGTGAAATTGCTAATGCTAATGGCTACCTACTAGCCGAGACGTTCTCTGCTGTTTCCTGGATGCTAAGCCAACAACAGTCTTCCCCGTCGCGAGTCAAAATGGGTGAACACATGAATGTCAGTGACTGTGTGATGTAGATCTGTCAGGTTTTTCAAATCCTAAACTTTTATCGTCTATTTTCTATTAGAAGCTAATGCAGGAGATAGGTGTAGGAGACTATTTTCATGTTCAGCCTGCATGAAAAACTCAAAGTGACCTATTATAATCAGAAAAAATAAGTAAAAAAATGTATTTTTTCAGTGAACCACAACTTTAAAAATGATTTCCTTTATATTCACACATATTAGAGTATTTATGTTTACTTCACATTTACAATTATTACCATTTTCAGTCAATTCTTCTCCACTTTCAATCTGTATATTTTATTTACCTAAATAACCTAATGCTTAAAATCAAATGATTTACTTCACCATCACGTCACCCTGTGAAAAAATCAGTTAGCTCCAAACATTAGCGTATTGATGTTTATTATACGTTTTTGTTAGACAAGTGATCATTAAAATAAAAACACTTATCTCACCTGGTAATATGGAGCTGATGAACACTGCATGACTGCTAAGTAGCTCCATAAATGAGTATTTTACGACTGTGTTCCTTCTGATTTATTTCAAGCTATAGCCATAATTTCCTGTCATTTGGGAGCTTGATAATTAAAACATTTTTTAATTTTCTCTAGCCTTAATAGGCCCACAGCAACTAGATGGAACCAAGTGCTGAGGCGCTGAGGCATTATCAAACAATGGATGATGTCAAACCACTGAGGAATTTGTCAAGAAGAAGCTGCAGGCTGTGTGTACTCTGTCAAATATTACAGAGAATCAGATGGCAGAGAGAGAGAGAACCAAAACCCATGAGGTATTCCTTGTTTAAAAATAAATACTTGCAGTTTTTAAAACACACACTCAAAGTGCACTTACTAATAACCAGAATTGCACAAAGTTCTTCTATTTTCTTCGCTCTTCTGACCTTCAGAGGCTCTGGCACTGTTTTCCAATACCTTTTTATAGTTATGTCAATTTAAGTGTGGCAGCACTCATTGTTCTTGCCCTTGATCTTTCCATTGAGTGTACCTGGGCTTTTTAATGTCACTGACAAAGTAGTCCATAGGGTGCTGCCGCCAGTCTGTCTGTCGTCTGGAATCATTACAGCACCGCCACTTGAAAAGACAAGGACTATCCCTTAACAATAGTCAGTGGCACTGCTGCGGAGCTTCAAATGCATTCCTCTCTGAGGTTTTGGCACATGGATTGGTCTGTCTAAATTGTCCCTAGGTGTGAATGTGTGTGTGCATACTTGTTTGTCCTGTGGAACAAAAAAAGTTGCTTTTGTGTAGAAGAAAAGAAAGGCAGAAGTGAGTTTGAATAGACAGCTTCTTTTAGGTTGCACAGTGCAGCAGCTAAGAGAGGTGGAAGCAATCTAAGTGGATGGATTGGCGCCACACTACAATATTCTACACGCTCTGCCCTAACAACACCAACCTCAGAGTCAGCTGTGTCCCCATTCCAATCTCTTTAGCTCGAAAAACGATTCGAGACGTTTGACTGCTTTATCAGGAGCTTTAATTATGCGTGACTCCACTGTGATACCGGTGCAACATCAACAGAGGCTGTGAGAAAGCAAACATCACTGAAACTACTTTTGCACTGACTGCATGCTGCACATGTAATGTTACTACTGCAGCGGGACACAACAAGAACGGTACTCCAAAGAGGAACTTTGGAGGTCAGGGGAAGGGAAAAATACACCAGCTCATGCACATAACTAAAGAGGGTGAGCTGGCATTTTGGAAAACTGCAAGCATGGGTAGGCCCTTGTTTTGCCACGGTGACATTTTGAAGTGACAGCACTCTTCTGTGCCATTTAATTCCCAAGGAGGAGGGCAAAAAGGATAAAGAGAGAGAGGATAATATGGTGGAGAGAAAAAACTAAAAAGAAGCGAAGAAAGAGAGCACCAGAGATGGTGAGATAAGAACAGGTGGGAGAGAAAAAAGGACTGATCCATTCTAATGAGGAATAACAAATGGCCCCTATGGCCTTCCCCTCCTCCTTCTTCTCCCTTTACAATGCTGACCTTTGGGTTTTGAAATTGATTTACTGTTGCTGCGGTTGACAGTGGCATTTTGAAAATGGTAACACCCCATCTCATTAATATAGCCACATGCACACAGAATCTGTCCCACTGGCCACCTGTCAGAGGAATTTTTACGATGTATTTACAAATCAATATTGGAGATGTGCAGGTGGGCTGATAAGTGTTCCTACATGAAGCAAAAAGAGGCTGTGATGTTTGTAAGTCATTCAAAATGAGCTAAGTAACTGAAGTCTGTGAGGGACAAAGAGAAAGACTCAAGAGGACACCAACATTGTGTAAATTACTAATTTATAGTAGAAAAAACTACAGTCAGAGCATCAGTGGAACAGCTAAAAGAAACGCTGGCGTCCAATTAAAACGCCTCAACTTTTTTGTTCTCTGCCATAAAAAAAATACAATGTTCACTTCTGATCAAACTGCCTAAATTTAACAAAATCAGCAAGCCACAGTTTTAGGCAGAAAGCAGCAGAGCAATAAAACAAAACAAGGCCAATTGCATTTTGGATAAAACGGTACTTTTACACCTCCACAGAGAAAAGGTTTCATGATAAAAGAATGTGATTAGAAATTAGAAAAGGCTGATGACTAAATTGTTGATAAGGTCTCTGCTTGCTGAAAGAAAATATGTGGGATCACTTCAGGTTTCTTTTTTCTTTTTTTTGCAAGGCGAAACCAAAATCCCTCTCCACGACACTGTTTTGATGCCAAATTTAGACTCAATCAAATGCAAAAATTTCTAATTGCCACACTCTTGCCAAATGCCCATCTATGAATTTGAAGCATTACCAAAAGATATGAATCCAACAAACACAAAATTGAGCAAAATGGTTCAAAATCAACAGAAATTGTTCATTTTTTCCCACTTGAATGTCAAGATATCCTCATTTCAGTTGAGTGATCTGTTGAAGGGTTGATTAAATGTGTGTGTGTGTGTGTGTGTGCGTGCGTGCGTGCGTGCGTGTGTGTGTTTGTGTGTGTGTAGGACATTGTTTCAACATTCCCTAAAATCCAGATGTTTAAAAAATGTCAGAAGATGACAAAGTTGAACAAGGTCCACTGCTTTTGGAGAATGGTTCTGATGATGATGCAACACAAAAATGTAACTCTTCCAAAACTGCAGTGGCATTTTTGACAGTTGGTCATTAGATTCCTTCAAAAACAGCAGAAGGAATTTTTACTCTCCTTGTTACAAACCCTTCCTGTTTCTCTAAAAGGAGAGTATGACTGCTACAGACAATACTCATAAATATTTTGTACAACCATTCAAATGAGATGAAACATCCTTTTAACATGTTTTGTGTTCAAAAATGGCAATTTTGTAGCAGGATAAAATTGTTGGTATTTTGTCTTTTACAATACAACAAAAATACATATAGAAAAAGCTATAATTTCATATCTGGCAATGACAATTTGTCTGTTTTTGCCATCATTATTATAGAGAGATGATATATTTAGATATAGGTGAAATTCAGGATTATTCTGTGGGTAAAAAAAGAAAAACTTACCTCCATGAGATCCAGGGGGTCTCCGTTCTTCAGCCAGTGATAAGAGGGCTTTGGCTTAGCGTTAGCTTTGCATTCCCACACCAGCGTGTCGTCGATGGTTTTCTGAACATCCTGAGGCTTCTCAGTGAGTTGTGGTGGAGCTGTCCAAGCACAAACCACTTACTGTAAATAAACAATTTAACACTACAAACATGCTTGAGTAAGACCTAAACCAAGCAGTTAAAAACAGAAAAATCAATGACCCAACCAAGCAGCCAATTAGTCTATTAAAGAAGCCTCCAATGGCACAAGACTTTAAACCCACTTCCAATTAATCCGAAGCTGACCTCTGCTTGGAAAAATATATAAATAAAAAACAACTGTATAAGGCTATTGTGGGGGTAGAAATCAATAGTGAACGCTTCAGACCAAAATTAAGTAATAAACCACTGGGTTTGGCACAAATTGGCTGTGTTCTATGGACCAGTTTTGCTGATGGTATGATTTTTGTGTTGCCAACAATAAACTTGTTTATTCTTTCAATTGATAGTATTGTTATGATCACTTACTGTGACATGAAACATCTGAAGTCTGAAAGCATCCAACACTAAAGGACAATTTATGGAAAACATTGCTCCATGTTAACCTGCTGGGCTAAAGAAAAATGCAGCAACAGTATTTGAGATAGTGCCTGCCTACATGTTTTCACTATCATAATGTCATTATAAAATAAAACATCAGCTTGTCTATATCTGGTCAAGCAATTATCAAATCAAAAGCTCTCATGCTGGGATGCTTGTAAGCAAATGTTAAAGCCCCTCTTTGCAAAAAGCTGCCAAATTATGCAGGATGTTTCATTTTAAAAGGATTAAACACTCATTTAAATAATACATTTGCAGTGGTCACTAGTAGGAATAGATGCTTTGTAAGGCGTACGCAGGGGAAAAAAAAATCAGATGCACCTGAATCAGGGAGTACAAGTCAGCTGGAGGAGAAAGTAGCTTCAGATGGCAGGTTTTTGAGTTTGTTTTCCTGATATTTAGACACCTCGCCTCGGATTTGACAACAGCAACGCAACCCTACCACTGATTCTGTTTGCTTTGCAATGTTGGTCTTTACCTTCACAAATAACACAAGCTTGGAGGAGTTCTGATGTGCGGCGGAGTTGCTAACAGTCACCTTCCACTAGCCGAGATGTTCTCTGCGATTTCCTGAAGGCTAAATCAACAACGGCTTTCCCCGTTGCGAGATGAGTGAGTCCATGTATGTTAAGTGACAGTTTGACGTAGATCTGTCAGGCTTTTCAAATCCTAGTGTTTAACCGTCAATTTTCTATTTTAGGTGGCAGGAAATAGACTATTTTCATCTTCAGCCAGAAAACTCAGAATGATTGATTATAATCAGAAATAATAATAAAAAAATGTATTTTCAGTGTTCCACACCTGAGAGTCTTATAATAGATGCTCAAAATCAACATCACAGTGTTTTGTTACCTCAAAAATGGCTATAAAGAATCACCTAGCTAATAAAACAAGATGAAGCTGTGTGACACGGATATCCTGGCTGAATCTGTTTGAACCCTTTATAGGGCACTTAAAATTTCAACCCCAGGGTGTTATTGTTGTCCATAACCAAAGTGTATTTCTGTTGTTACAATTTTCAAAAATATTTATTTTCATGCAGAAAATCAGAGAAAACAAAGTGATCAAATATGGACGTTGGCCCTATTCTGATAAAAATAAATATCAAAATAAAACACATGAACAAGTTAAATAAACATTAATTTTGAATAATATAGATCATTATAAGACAATTTAGAATTATCTAGCTAATTTTAGAACATTATATCACTGTTCAATAATACAGATTATATCACAATTATTAAATAATATTTTTATGAAAAAAGATGATTGTGAAATATTTTTGAAAAGGTTTTGAACTATAGATACTATTTCTGATCAAATATATATTATTATAATATTTTAGAATATTTTATTTTTGAAGATATGTCTCAGGGTCATCTTCCTCCTGTTCATCATCATCACTGATGGCGAGATTGGTTGGCACAATAACTGTCCTGCTCCATTTCCCAGAGAAATCTTAGTTTAAAACTGAAAATATATTCAATATATTAATTGTTGTTATTACTGTTACCATGAATATTAAGACTATGTCTAAAAAACAACAGATTTTACCTAAAAAAATTTAAAAAATATTTTCCTTGTTCAAAGTGAATGTTCAAATGTGGCAGATGTGATTTTCAAGCTAGGATTTCACCAACTTTATCGCGTTTAACATTTACAACACATATATATTTATTTAGCACAACTATTCAACCTTGTGATGTGAGAGTTTCATAAACCTAGGAATGTTAGTTTTGGAGATCTGACCGAGGAATTTTCTGGCTCTGCAGACACAACAATATTTGGTGCATTATAGCCCCACCCTGATTGGTGGAACGGTGCAAACCGTGACTAGCTTGATCTCTGGTGATTGTTTGGGTGAAATCCCGTAATTCTAAGACTTTGTGAAAAGGCACATCAACGTCATTTATGATGTGAGTGGAAATGTCTAAATATGGACGTTGTCCTGTAAAGGGTTACGGTCAGGTTTGACTGGAAAAGCCAAACACTACCATAGAAGCAGGCAGATAAAAAAACACAGACAGGGACTAATAATAAACCTGGGAACAGTTATAAAGAGGTAAAAATAATGATGATGCAGGTGGTTTGATTAGCATTTTGGAAACAGGTGTGAGCAAAGTCTAAAGAGATCAAAGATAAAAATTCCTTCATGCAGTTTTTGTATTTCTTAAACATGTTTGCAGGTGCTTTCACAGCCCTATACTTACTTATAATAACTATTTTAGTTCCTTTTCCAATTAAGCTACTTAAAATATTTGTTTTTATCATCTAAAATTAAGGCCTCATGATAAACGTAAATGAAAAGAAGTACAATTGGAATAATGATTTAATTCTGTAAAAATTAGGTCACCAAATGACACCATTAAACATTCAAAAAGAGCCTGTGGGGATTTCCACACAAGGTCAGTGTAACGGGTCCAGAAACCACTCAAATACAGCAAGCTGTTGGATCTTAAAAGTGTTACAACTATTTCTTACATCCTCTAAACTGCAGTTGGGCATTTAAGAGATAACAGAGCCTTTTTGCTAGTGTGTTCTTACTGTTTGAATGCCACAAACCACAGTCTGGATACTGGTTCTCCCATTCTTCTCTAAACTTGATGGATGTCCCACTAGGTCCCATCAGTGAGACTTTAAAATGGGATTAGAGATTTTTATCACTTGCCCACCAGTCAGTCTGTGAGGCTGTGAGATTAGATGGGACTTAAATCTTGCAAGGAGGCACAACTTCCACACAGCTGAAGCACAAAGCCACACGACCAACACTGCATGAGAAAATCAGTATTCAGATGCACTTTTTTAGTAATCTTGGTCATGAATTTTTAAAAATATCTGGACACATCTGGAAGATTGATTGCATAAATGTCTGAAGCAGATTAATTCTCAGTTCATCCACTCTGACTTTAATCAGCTCATCTCAATTCAAAATGCAGAAAAACGTAACAGAATAATCAAATCAAAGGCATCCTCCGTCAGTGAAAAGAAAACTTCGAATTTGCTTTCAGTGCAGAACATCCCTGAAGGGCCATGTGGCCAGACATCATCAATGAATAAACTGCAACATAATGGAGAGAGAAACTATAAAAATCCCCCATCAAGGGACATTAAAAGCTGTTCTCAGAATACAGGCCATGAGTCCAGTGTTGGTGAGGAAAGAAAAAATTGCTTTCCCCAAGAGGCGGTGTAAATCGGAGAGGTCTCCATGTTAGCAGCTGGCTCAATAAAGAACTTGTCGGAAAGTTAATAAGCTATTTTACAAGCATATTCTGGGATTTTATTCTGTTAGGCTCAAATAAAACCTACAGACTGCATGACAGTAAACACATTTTCTTATATTAGACTCAACATTACATCTCTACCTGTAACACTGCCCAACAGAAGAGAAGTAAAAACTCTAGGTGTTAAAATTTGTTTGTTAGTTTTTTTTTAATGAATCACTAGAAGGCTGACAAGGTGAAGGAATATTTTTATACCCAAGGCAGAAAGTGTGAAGGCAGATTTTAGATCAAAGCCATGGACACCGACCTGCTACTGTACTCACCAAAGAAAGACAGCTTTCCTTGAACTGAGTTTCTTCCTCTGCTGTTCTCAGCCACGCACTCATACACTCCTGCATCCTCTTGCTGGAAATAAGGGACCTCTAAAACGCCACTGGCTTTATTTATGTCCACTTTCCTGCTAAAGTTGGCCCCATCTACTCTTCTCCAGCTGATCACAGGAACTGGGCTGAAGGAAGGGGATGGGGGGGAGGGGGAGACATCGCAAGGGCAAAACATGAAAAATAATCCCAAAGATTGTTTTATCTCCAGCCTATTCAAAGTAACATCAAATCCTGGTGAAGTGGAAGAAGCGATAAAGCCCATCAACATTACATTAACCTGAAACATTATATATTGAGTGTAGCTTCCTTTGTGTGCAGCAGCACAGGAACAAGTCATCACAAGCTGAAACTTTTAGGATATATTAATAACACAGGGTGACATACTTTCCCAGTGCAAAACATTCCAGTTTGACGGTTGAGCTCTTAGCGACGGGGACGACTTCCGGGAACTGAACTTCGATTTTTGGCTCGTATTCGCCCATGACACCTGGAGTGGCAAAGAGAAGTGTCTCTAAATTATCCATTTTTTGAAATGCTTGTTATAAAGAAAAACTTGATTTAGAGTAACCGGCCTCTGATTGTAATTTTCTAACACTACTTAAGATTATGACTAAAGGTTTTTTCTATTAAAATCAGTAACAAAAAAATAACAATATTCAGACAGCTATGAAATATAAAAAAGACATAGAGCCAATCTATAATCATTAAATAGAGCATGGATGACTCAAATCAGGGCAACACTTGGTTAAAATAATATTTTTTGTAAGGCAATTGCAAATCAACTTCCTGTGATTTTTAAATTCTACTCTTTCATTTGAGGATTAAAATAAAAAATGAACTAAGCTGTTGCTTCTTTATCCTGTAAGTCTGAGCGAGGCGTGTCATACCGTCCACACGCAGGACTAAAGGTGTCAGCGGTCCTTGAACGCTGCTTTTGGTGACCGTGTTGGTGACAACACACGTGTAGTTGCCAACATCGGAGGGTTCCACCTTTGCGATGTAGAGGTTTCCTGTCTTCTGGGACACAAAACGACGAGTATCCTGGATGACAAAGGATGGGTACGCGTTGAAGATCCAGGTGAAGGTAAGTTCTGAGCACACAATCAAAAAGATCATGAAGTTAAATTATTGCAATATGAAATATTGGTGTAGAAAAGTTCAGCTATGCTTATTGACATACGTGTTGTGGATACATCTTAGCTACTACAGAACTAAATTATTGATAAAATGTGAAAATGGACAGATTTATTATCAACTTTGTGTTGGCAGCCATCTTTAATAGGAAAGAAAATCAGTTGAAAACCATGGACCACGTTCTGAACATTTCTGATTAAAGGCTAATAGTTTATGAGGTTCTGGTTCTGACAAACCAACGCCTGCAGTTAAACGGAGAAGTTCTAAAACTTTATTTCCATGGTGGGAGGGCTCAGCTGCAATCTTTCCAGCCCACATCAAGGTAAAGGGGCTCAGCTGATCCTGGATCCATTAAATTGATTTTACTTATAAATCATCTAAAAACATGTAATAGGAGCTTCATCATACTGTTAACTTTGTTTTTTCATGACAAATGACTTTTACTCACACAAATTAAACAAAAAAAAAGTTACTTTCCTAAAGCTAAATTATGTTGAATTGATAATTTGTCGACGAATAAAAGATGACAACGAAAATTGACAGAAACTAAAATCCAATCAGAAAACAGGAACAGAGGAAGGAACAGACAAAAGAACCAATCAGCATATGGAATAGGCGGGACGAGACGAGAAATGAACCAATCAGAGTGCAGAGCCAGATACTTTTTGAACAAACTACCGGTAACTTGTACAATTTATGTCTAAAAGGAGAACATCAGAATCAGAATCAGAATCAGAATAGGTTTATTGCCATTGTCAGTGAACAAACAATTCACAAACTAGGAACTTGCTTCGGTACTGATGTGCTACATATAACATGAATAATAAGATTAAAAATAGAATAAAATATAATAAAAAACTAGAATAAAACTTTCAGCTATAAAAAATGGCTGGTAATGGTAACATGGCCGATAGCGTGACGTTGTGTCGAGTACAGAAGACCAGCATGGTTGTGTGTTTATAATCTATTCACAAGTCTAACGGCAGATGGAAAGAAGCTGTTCTTATGGCGGGAGGTTCTGATCCGGATGGACCGTAACCTCCTGCCTGAGGGGAGCGGCTCAAAAAGTCTGTGACCCAGGTGTGAAGGGTCAGCTGCTATCCGACCTGCATGCCCCCGAGTTCTGGAGACGTACAGGTCTCAAAGCTGGGACCAGAACATGTCTGCAGCTGGGAGGAAAAGCATTAAATGTGATGATCTGAAAAGTATTTGATTGTTGAGTACACATCAGGGGTTCCCCTGGTTTTAAATGTTATAGTGGTAGCTGCGCACACGCGTGTGTGTGTGTGTGTGTGTGTGTGTGTGTGAGTGTATGTGTGTGTGTGTGTGTGTGTGTGTGTGTGTGTAACCAAATGTGTGATAAATACACCTGAAAACAACTTTTTTTCCTTTAGTTTTACCTTCTTGTATTGTTAGAGTAATACATTTTATTGATCTGCTGGTATGGTGTCATTTCCTGTCATGTTTACATATATTACAGAGTTGTATTGACCCAAAATGTAAATTTTTCATTTTGCTTTACAGTTTCATGTAGGTGTAGTTAACATTTACTTTACAGAAGTTGTAAATGATTGCATCAGAAGATAAATACATTTTAATCGACTAAAATCAAAACTAATTAGATGACTAAATTGTGACTAAAATATAAAATTATTTAAGTCAAAAGACTAAAACTAAATAAAAATTTAAAACTGAACAGCGCTTCATCAGCAGTCTCATCTCTTCTATGTTAGTGGATGCCCCATGGGATAAAGCAATTAGCGGATAGGACTGAGTGCCAGCCTTCCATGATTAAAAACATGATTTATAATTGAGGAGCACTTACTCTTACTCACTGGTGAATAAATGGCTTTAATATGGTTAAAAAAGTGATATTTTCATTATGTCGAAGTGATGATGCTGAGAGTAGGAATGTTTAAATCAAGTTGTTTCTTTACACCAACAGCAGCGATAATTAAGGTGTTGTCTGAGGTGGCCTGTTCAGTTTAATGGAAGAGCTGGGTGGGTTGTAACAAACAGTAATTTAGAGTAAAAAAAAGGAGAAAAAGTGATTAAACTGTGAAAAATGTCTTTCCATAGATTTCAGACAATAAACAAGTTTACCCATTTACTCATTTTACTGTTTAGGTGAAAACCTAACACAGTAGCATACACATACAGTATATTTTCTAAATTAACTATTCCAAAGTATGTGCACATTTACATAAAAAAGGCAGAGAGCAGTCACTTTTATTTTATCATTTAAAATCTTTGTGTTCTTTTGAGGATTTATTTTTTGAAAATGAAATACAAAAATAATTATATGATAAAATAGCCAAACTCCAATGTTTATTTGTGATTGGCATGCAGCAGAGACATTACAGTTACCACTCCTGCATCAAATATGGCTTTAATGTTCTTTAAAACCAATATATTAAAGATTTTTCATTTGATTTAGCACAACCTCATCTGCAATTTATCATTTATGATAAAAACAAGTTTCTGCAGGATGCTCCCAGTGCTGCCTAGCAAATGGAAAGCAGTCTAAGAGGCTTCACACTCATAAACAGCAACATTTTAAAAAAGGAATATTGGTGTTTTGACATATTGACACAAGGATAGATTGCTCTGGACCATGCTGCATCCCTGTCCCCAAAGCAATCTTGGCTGTTGATAAAAACTTGTTTAAGTGATGACTCTGCACTACGCTACAGAGAATAATTGAGATGTGACTTGCACACTCCTTCGCTTCTCCTATTTTAATGGGGGTAGGAGGATGCTGGGGTTTCGACACATTATTGCAACCTTGCAAATAGCACACCAGAAAAAGATCCTGAGAAATGTACTTTTGCTTGTTTCTGTCACTCTGGTCATCTACCGCCTCGGATCTGACGGTCAGACACTCCCACCTCTCTGCAGCCTCCCTTGATCTCTGCCAACTCTTCCTTGCCTGCTCAGGAGTCACTTTATACGAAGGCATCCGAAAATCTACACTCTGCTTGGCTTCCTCTCAGCGCATTCAATCAACCTTTTATTTTTTTATCATTCTTTGTGTTTTTGACAGTCTGGCTTTAAAAAAAATACTTTCAGGAAACCTCTACTCTGATACTTTGGGCTTTTAGTGACCTTAAATATGAATCATGACAGTTTGTTATTTGTGTGTTAGGATTTTGCTTTTCACAGCTTACTTGCACAGTGACACGCATGGAAAAGGTCCAGAAACACGTTTTCAATCTTAGAATATATCCAGATACTCAAAATGGACATTTAAAGAATGCTTCAATTCAATTTTTCCACATTTCTTCTTGGTTTTTAAAGAAGCTGACACCCTGTTGGATATACTTGTGCCTGTCATAGTGTACTAATATAAAAGCAATTGACAGCCAGCCTGTTAAATTATAACATTCAGTAATTTTCTGTCCCCTCTCAGCACTGTTATGCTAGTTTCTATGCATTTAAATGAACGTAATTACAATACACATCAGAATTTGACATCAACGTAAACACAACAATAATGTGTTCATCATAGGAATCCTTGCAGCCTCACCCTCTTTGAATTATGAAGAAAAATTGCAGATTAAATGTTAATGCGCATGACTGCACTGCAAACGAAGACTTTTTAGTGCAGGAAAATGAGGCTAGCCTCTCAATTTTAGGTTTTTATGTCAACATAACTTCACGTCTTGATCCGACTGACCCACAAACGGAGCAGCTGCAGCTTCCTCCTCTCCCCTCCATGAATGTACTCTAGTTCTCATCTTGAAAGGGTCATGTATATTTAATGCTAGCTAGTATTTGAAACTATATCTTTCAAAGGTGCAGGCTCTGGAAAAAAAAACAACGAAACAGCAACAAATAAGCGGTTACTAATTGGTCTATTAAAGATTTATGGAGGGGAACAGGAAACAGGATATAGGAAGTGAAAAGCCAATGGTTGGGTTTGATTGAATTGAGAGCCACATGCGGATGGGCGGTAATGGAATAATGCAGCCGTGAGTGACAGTGAGTGGCAGATTTTCATTGTGGTTCCATTTAGTCTTTGTATAATGAACAGGCAGCATCATTTTCCCCTTAATGATCTGAGAAGAGTGAAGAGAAATGGAACATGGCAGGCTAAGGACATCGTGAGTTAAGAGTGAGTTTATGCACAAGTGTGCTTTAAAGAAAAAATAAATGCATGCTTGTGTCAAAGTTTACACTCACAAGTCTGTTCCCTAGACAGTGGCAGCCATTAACCGGGCCTTCCAATCTGTATTCATAACACACAAGTTCACTTTATGAAATGGCATGAGGTCATACACATGGGGAAAAAATCCCTGCGAGCTGTATGTGCTGGCACTAGTCAGCAGCCAGCGTGTGTTTTGGGTTAGATGCACTGAATGGAGAAAACAAGTGATTTCAGTCTTGAGTAAACCTGAAAGGCCGTTTTCCATTAGTGGAAAAGAGGTCAGATGCATTAGGTCCCTCACTAACCACAATCATTCCGACCAGCTCAAAGGAAAAGGTGACACAGAGCAGCGTTTGATGCAAATATGGCACAGCACCATAAAAAAAGATTTAGTGAGAACCTTTCCGGGAAACTTGACATTATATTACTCAGATCAAAAGTGCAACGACATCATGCCTTCTGCTTTTAGCCAATCCTGGCAGCACAGATGCACTTTCTGTAGATTTGTTCCTGTGCGTTTTGTGGCATTGTTAAAGTGAAATAATGGCCTCCTGAATCATGCATGGGATGTGGGAAGCCTTTAAAGAGGAGATAAGGTGGATCTTTGTCTAGGACTGTGTTGTGCTGATCATGAATTATGTTCTGTCACCTTTTATGAGAACATGTGTCTCACTTTTCCAACACTGAAAAGTGCACAGTCCTGGATCCACAGTAAAGAATATTGAAACACAACAGATCATTCCGAGCATGAGGCTCGGCCTCCGTGCAACTTCTACGCTTCACAACGAGGATCAAGCAGCTTGTTGGTGA